TTATTTGGGTCAGCCACCAGCAAGGCTTTTCTGGCAGAGGTAGAACATCTTGTATGTTGTGCTACTGATCTAGCAGACATAATCTTTCTACATTGACAAAGCCGCAATGGGAGAAACCTGGATCTGTGGAACATAGACCCTGTTAATGATGGAAAGCGAAGGGATGTAATTTGATTAGCTACAATTGAGTCACAGAAGGGTTCAATGCAGAGTCAACTGTTAAGTGAATTCACACAGTGCGACATTGCCTTTGACAATCTGTTAAGCTGAAAGAGATCTTTGATTTCTCACAGTGTTAGCCTACATCCACCCAAATTACATTGTACGGTATTTTCAAACCTGTGGATTCAATGGTGGATAATTACATGGATTAGTGTGCTCATATACATTCCAACTGTGAGGACTTGAATTTGAACATTCACAGGGACATTCATTTAGAAAAGTATCTCAGTCTTTGTTTATGTCATTTCAATTTGAAAGCTTCTCATCTTAAACTCTTACTTTGAACATTGCTTCAACCTAAGCCCTATTATGTATATCAACCGTACTTGTCTGCACGACCAGTTGATGTAATAAGACAGACCACAGCTAAAAGCTAAATGAAGTAGCTAACCTCAATCCTCCCAGGAGTAATGAAATAGTTAGCCCCCAGTGCAGTAGCTTGTTATTGGGTGTAACAGTGCCCTGCCTGGCTATAACAGTGGCCCTATTCTTCCTCACATTGCTAAAAGAGGACAAGGACGATTAGGAGCACTCCTCGTTTGGCTAAATGTAATGCCTAAGCCTGTGATGGGGCATAATGGAGTTGATTGTCTCTTAATTGAGTTTTTAGACCCTGAAATAAAACATGCCAAAATGCTCAGTTTGTTGTTTTTGTTATTTACCAAAAATATGTTATAAAGACAGTATTGATGGCAAAAAGCTAATAAAATGTCCAGTACATCCAAAGATGTAAAGCATCCCTATGACATTTAAGATTTATCGATTTGTGTTTGAGGTGGTGAATCCAATTCTATGTTGGGTCGGGTGTTTGTCATTGGAAAGAAAAGTGAGGTTAGGTCTTGAAAGAGCATAGATAAAAGTAGTTATTTGTCTCAGTAGGGTAATTCTGAGTGAAGCAGAAACATCTTCCTCCATAGGACATTTCTTTGTGATAAATTCCTGGAAAATATTGAATTAAATTGATGTTTTTTGTTCCATGTTCACACAGAATAACCCTATTGGGATGAGGAAGGGTGTCTTGTCAGGGAATAACCAACCATGTTGGGAGGAGGGAGGGTGTCTTGGCAGGGAAGAGCTAATGGCTAACGTTGACATTTGATCCGTCTGTGTCCCCCTGCCTGCTGAACTCCCATCTGTCACTCCCTAGTCCGTAATGCATAGCTAGTAGTCTCTCAGTCCCACCTTAACCCAGTCACACAACTCACCTTAACCCAGTCCCACACACAACTCACCTTAACCCAGTCCCAACTTACCCCAGTCCTACACACAACTCACCTTAACCCAGTCCCACACACAACTCACCTTAACCCAGTCCCACACACAACTCACCTTAACCCAGTCCCAAACACAACTTACCTTAACCCAGTCCTACACACAACTTACCTTAACCCAGTCCTACACACAACTCACCTTAACCCAGTCCCACACACAACTTACCTTAGCCCAGTCCTACACACAACTCACCTTAACCCAGTCCCAACTTACCTTAACCCAGTCCCAAACACAACTTACCTTAACCCAGTCCTACACACAACTCACCTTAACCCAGTCCCAAACACAACTCACCTTAGCCCAGTCCTACACACAACTCACCTTAACCCAGTCCCAACTTACCTTAACCCAGTCCCAAACACAACTTACCTTAACCCAGTCCTACACACAACTCACCTTAACCCAGTCCCAACTTACCTTAACCCAGTCCCAAACACAACTTACCTTAACCCAGTCCTACACACAACTCACCTTAACCCAGTCCCAAACACAACTCACCTTAGCCCAGTCCTACACACAACTCACCTTAACCCAGTCCCAACTTACCTTAACCCAGTCCCAAACACAACTTACCTTAACCCAGTCCTACACACAACTCACCTTAACCCAGTCCCAAACACAACTCACCTTAACCCAGTCCCAAACACAACTCACCTTAACCCAGTCCCACACACAACTCACCTTAACCCAGTCCCACACACAACTCACCTTAACCCAGTCCTACACACAACTCACCTTAACCCAGTTTCACACACAACTCACCTTAACCATGGGAGTATGATTTACATTTGAGTCATTTAGCAGACGCTCTTATCCAGAGCGACTTACAGTTAGTGAGTGCATACATTTTCATACTGGCCCCCCGTGGGAAACGAACCCACAACCCTGGCGTTGCAAGCGCCATGCTCTACCAACTGAGCTACAGGGGACCTGATGATAGACAATCTTTTTTAATCCTACCTTGATAATAAAAACTTAGGGCATCAATCCATCAATGGATTAATTTATCTGCTTTACCTCCAATACAGTCATTTCTAGAATTCAATTTCAAAGGGCTTAATAACTGTGTTTGATAACTGTACCAATTGGCATTTGTCATCGTCTCATTAGAGGGAATGGTCTTGTTATCAATCACATTTATTTATAAAGCCCTTTTTACATCAGCAGATGTCACAAAGTGCTATACAGAAACCCAGTCTAAAACCCCAAACAGCAAGCAATGCAGATGTAGAAGCACATCTAGGAGATGTGCTGATGCTCGCATGCCCAGGCGAACAGGACACCCTGGTGTGTGTCTGTCGGGCACTGAGATGCCCTGCCGCTAGCATTGGCACACACAGCCAAAGAGGTGCTCTTAATCTCATCGGTGCCAAGCAGACCGCTCTCTGAATTCATGACTTGGATGTAATTGTGTTAGACTGGGATTTTAATGCTCTATTTATTACCAAAATGCAGCCGGCATGAACTTTTAATTCCATTGTCTGCACCACCACACTACTGCCTACTAATTCATTCTTGCTGACCAGACTATTCCGTTTAATTTAAAGAGAAAAAACATTTAGATTTTTTTAATTAGTTCATTTGTTTGCTGGTGGTATGTGCAACCTTGTCATCACTTTTTGCCCTTGAATGGACCTTGTTGTGGTTTCAAACTGAAGTAACAAGGTGTCTGGCAAATGCTGCCTCTTGAATTTACTGAATATTTCTTCTGTTTGTACAAGCCTCCTCATTTTACAATGGAAAGATATGCTGTTCAGCAACAGTTCATCATTATTAATAGTTAGTCATTATCCCAGAGGTGGTTCTTAATCTGAGGCATTCGCCATATCCTATGTTTATCTAACCAATTGTATCTAACCACCTAACCACTTATAATAAATGCTAAAGCAGGTAACAGGGTGCAGACAACTTACCAAATGTATAGTGTCTTGCCTTTAGCAAGTTGTTGGTTGTGTACCACCCTGTTTGTCTTCAGTCAGAGTGCCTTCGAACTTCTATTGTGATCCAAGCATTTTATAGCTCAAGATTATTTACCAGGATGGGCTTGGTAGGCCTATTTAATGTTTACCTAAAATGTACAGCTTTTATCTTGTATTGCATGATACAACACAAACAAAAGCCTTGCAAGATGTTCTGCAGGCAAATATTCAGATAGGTTTCGTTCTCATCTTGTTAAGTGGGTTTTGAAAGACGTAATTGGAAATGCAGTCATTGGATCCTGAGGTAAAAGTACACGGTATCTGAGTGGGTAGGAAAAAGCACTGATTTGGACTGAGGTAGAGTTTCCCAGATTATAGATACTTAATATACACAAATATATGTTCATTCTAATTATATGGTGTATATCAAGGTCATAAGTACAGAAAACCTCTCTTTTGTCTACAATCCTTTGTGTGTCTTGGCACCGTATGTCTTTGTATGACCAGCTGCTACTGGAGATCTTTCGTGTGCGTGCGTGTGTGTGAGGGGGGGGGGGGGGGGGGGCTCTTGTTGTGTCTACCCCTGCGTGTCTGGCTGAGTTGACAGTATGTGAGAGGACAGTGTAACAAGAGTCGAAACCTTGTCCTCTTTGTTTGGTAATTATACCACACTGCGTTCACATGATAGAGGGGTACTGTGAAGAACCATCAGGGGAGAGAGAAAGGAGCATGCCAAACAAAGCCTTAACAATCTGGAAATAATTCCCTTGACCCTATTCAACCCACTGGTTTAGGCATAGTCCTTCGTCTCTTACTATATAGTCCAGTAGGGCTATGGTATAGGGCTATGGTATAGGGCTATGGTATTATTAATGCACTGTATTGTTAAAGTGTTGCAACAGTGAACTTGAAAGTGCTTCTACCTACTTTGCTAGCCTATATCCCAAATTCCTTTGTATAAAAGTGAGACAGTGCTGTGGGTATTAAGTGCCAGTCGAACACTGTCAGGAAATTGCAGTTTAAATGGAGGAAACACTGTCTGCGCTAATGTTCACAGGTTGCCTGGAGTTTAACCTTGGATTTGGCACTGGACCACATTATCAGGCTTCACACATATTCCATAATGCTGGACCATATTATCAGGCTTCACACATATTCCATAATGCTGGACCATATTATCAGGCTTCACACATATTCCATAATGCTGGACCGCATTATCAGGCTTCACACATATTCCATAATATATCAAGTTAAACGGAACCTCACTTTTATTTTGATGAGAAAGTGGGCACAGTCAGTAGGAATCTCATTATATAGGCTAGTCATGTTTTTTCTCCAGTGATCATTGTTGAAGAGATCTTGCTTTATTGTGGTGATAATGGTGAAAAGTTATTGGAACATTCTTCAAACCAAAAGGCATTACTTTAAAGTGGAACAAGCCAGCAGAGGTTAAAAGCAGTGCTTTGTTTGTAATTAGGTTAATGGAGTATGTTTTTAAATGTTGACTGACATGACCTTTGTGTCTTTAATGTATCTTTAAAGTGTTATTCTGTGACCCTGGTTGATCCTGGTTGTCTCTGATTCCAGACGGTGTCCACCATGTCACGGCACTCTGCACCCTGCGTGTCACCATCATCACCGACGACATGCTGACCAACAGCATTACGGTGCGCCTGGAGAACATGTCCCAAGAGCGCTTCCTGTCCCCGCTGCTCGCCCTCTTCATGGAGGGCGTGGCGGCGGTCCTGTCCACCCGCCCCAACAGCGTCTTTGTCTTCAACATCCAGAAGGACACCCACGTCCAGGGGAGCATCCTCAACGTCACCTTCTCCGCCCTGCGCCCTACTGGGGGATCCGGGGGCACCATCCCCCCTGGACCTTTCTTCCCCTCAGAAGCCCTGCAGGAGCAGATTTATCTGAACCGGACTCTGCTCACCCTGGTGTCCAGCCAGCGTGTGCTGCCCTTTGACGATAACATCTGCCTCCGCGAGCCCTGTGAGAACTACATGAAGTGTGTGTCGGTGCTGAGGTTCGACAGCTCGGCACCCTTCGTGTCCTCGAATACGGTGCTGTTCAGGCCTATCCACCCGGTGACGGGGCTACGCTGCCGATGCCCAGCAGGTTTCACGGGGGACTACTGTGAGACGGAGATTGACCTGTGCTACTCAGGGCCCTGCCAGAATAACGGCAAGTGCCGGAGCAGGGAAGGCGGGTACACTTGTGTGTGTCCGGAGGAGTTCACCGGTGAGTGTTGTTATCCACTTTTTGGTTTCCTACTTGACTCTTTTACTTTCACCCCATTCTTGATCTGCTCTTTTTCACGTCAGTCTTTCTTTCACCTTTCACTCTGACTTTGCTTTAGTCTCTCTGTCATTAGGGTTAGTCTCGCTGTCATTAGGGTTAGTTTCTCTGTCATTACGGTTAGTCTCTCTGTCATTAGGGTTAGTCTCTCTGTCATTAGGGTTAGTCTTTCTGTCATTAGGGTTAGGGTTAGTCTCTGTCGTTAGAGTTAGGGTTATTCTCTCTTTCATTAGGGTTAGGGTTATTCTCTCTTTCATTAGGGTTAGGGTTAGTCTCTCATTCATTAGGGTTAGGGTTGGTCTCTCTGTTGTTAGTGTTAGTCTCTCTCATTAGGGTTAGTCTCTCTGTTATTTAGGTTAGGGTTAGTCTCGCTGTCATTAGGGTCAGGGTTAGTCTCTCTGTCTTTAGGGTTAGGGTTAGTCTCTGTCATTAGGGTTAGGGTTAGTCTCTCTGTCATTAGGGTTAGGGTTAGTCTCTCTGTCATTAGGGTTAGGGTTAGTCTCTCTGTCATTAGTACTTAGATAGAAACATGCCTACCCCCATCGAGATCTCACATCTGCTTTGACAGAACCTCTGTCCATAGAGTTTAATATTCCCGCTATATTAAAGACACGGCCCACAGCCAAAACCATGATTCTGCAGAGAGGCTATTACCTGTTAATCAAACCCTAGCCTTCTATGCTTTGAAGACTCTTGGCTAGCTCCAGGTAGTCTCAAGTCATAACGAGGGTGATGATGGTTGGCCTGACAGTGCTGGCCTCAGGTTTCGCACACTTTCGAGAAAAATATCCCTCGTAATTCCCTCCAAACCGGAGATTATCCGTCTTACAGTCGGGTCATTACCCGCTGGAATTCCGAGCCCCGTAAGTCATAGGTGTTCTCTTTATCCAGATCTTGTCAGGGTAATTTGCAACACACAACACCCCACACTAGGAGCTGGAAATAGATCTGGTAGTGGCACATTGGAATGCAAAGACCTTGTGGGGTTGACAATTGTTCCTTTTGACCTGTGGGAAAATCATCTCTTGACTCCTTGGTGCTCTCTTTCATAATATGTAATACAATGACCCTTAAAGGGTGACACAATCCCACCGGACCTTCCACACACATTTCTCTGTAGTCTTCCTGTCTCTGTTCTCTATCGCTTCAATATAAAAGCCTTATCATGCAATACATTGTTACCATACTGTTACCATTAATTTTTTTTTAAGATGGTGAACTTGGGGCCTGTTTCCCAGACATCTCCATTGTACATGCTTTTTAGTCTAGAACTACACTTCACAAAAATATAAACGCAACATGTAAATGATCCTTTCCTTATTTTTTTATTGGGAACTATCTTTCAGCTCAGTACGTGACCCCTTAATGGTCACCCCAAGCTGTTAGGGAAAGCACCCCAGAGTTAAAAGAAAAACACAGTGAAGTCATCACTACTGACATCAGCATCCATTTTGAAAGCTGTCACCTCCGGAACACGTCTCAGGTCTAGTTAACCAGGCAGGACAGTGTCAGTGTGGGTTGCTGGTGGGTCGTGACAGGTGTCTTATAGACCACCGAGTTGGCCTGCTGCTTGGCCAAAGACACTCCATTGTCCTATTGTCATTATGCCACAAGCCGTTTGGTTCCAGCAAAGAGCCAGGGGTCAGTCTGGGTCACAGTGCATGGCGGTTACAATCTGCTGTGTTTTGACATGCTTGCGAAGGGGGTTTGAGCTCCAACCCCCTTCTATCTGAGTCAATTCAGACTAGCTTGTAGGTTGTGTTGTAATGGAGTTGAACTTGTCTGCTGTGAATCTGACTGATTTCAGCTTGTTCCCATAAATATATTTGGGGGGCTTCGTCCAGGACACATCGTAATATAAAGGCCTGAAAGGAGGATTTAAAGAAACATGCCTACCCCCATGTGTACCCGTTTTCACACCAACCCAAACTTTTGTCAATATCTCCAGACAGTTTTTCATTTTTCTATACTCAGCAGATCTTCCCGCTCACCTGGGCTGCCCGTTTCCTTTTCCCTTCCTACAGGTGATCATTGTGAGGTGAACTCGCGCTCTGGCCGTTGTGTCCCGGGGGTGTGTAAGAACGGTGCCAGGTGTGTAGATCTGCTGGTGGGGGGGTTTGTATGCCAGTGCCCCCCAGGGGAGTACCAGAAACCATACTGTGAGATGAGCACGCGCAGCTTCCCCGGCCAGTCTTTCATCACCTTCAGAGGGCTACGGCAGAGGTTTCACTTCACTGTGTCCTTCATGTAAGTACACCTTTTTTTGGGGTTCTCTTTGCATTCACGAACACCTGGAGCTTTTTTGACATAGTACTGAGCCAAATGATACACATCTAACGCCTTGTCTGAATATACATACAACCCTTTGTAATAAGCAGTAATGGCTGTATCCATGGCAACAGAAATAAACATCGCCCTGCTGTCTTTGTCTCGCTGACTGGACATGCTTGGGCATAAGCACATCTGAACCTCAAATCACAGAAGTGCTGAATCACAGGGCTGGTATTTGTGTTCTGCCTTGACATTTGTGTTCTGTTTGACGAAAGAAGCACAAGCCATTTTATCCAGTGGTTAGGTGCAGATCTTGGTTCAAATAGTATTCATTTTTTATTTGAAATACTTAAAAAGTTTAATCGAGCTTGCCTGGAGTGACATTGGTTGTATCAAGGCTGTAGAGAAACATCTCTTTCTAGCGTTCAGCTCACGTTCCCTGGCAAAGGTAAAAACAGGAAGTGATGCGTGGAGCCAGAGGGCCCTAGGTGTTTGGCTTTGTTGATCACGGTTTCCTGTGACGCTGCCCTGTGCCATGTGGCTTCTGACTTCTGTGCCCGTACCCGCTACGTGCCAAAGGGTTAATGACACACAGCGGCATGGCTCCCAGTTCTAGCTCTGGTTCTACGTCTGTCCACACCAGTCCTCCTTCCCTCCGTCATTTTCCAAATTCCTTTTGCTCCTCTCATTGTCTCTAGTTCAATATGATTATTTTCTCCATTTTCCCTTTTATCTCTCATTGTCCCTCATTTCCCAGGTTAATATGTCTATCAACGTGTCCCACCCTCCCCCGCCCCACACAACTTATATTGTTCTCGCATTACCTCAAGACAGGTTAAAGAAGGGTTTTTAAGCCTTGAGACAATTGAGACATGGATTGTGTATATGTGCGATTCAGATGTTGAATGGGCAAGACAAAAGATTGAAGTGCCTTTGAATGGGTTATGGTAGTAGGTGCCAGGCGCACCGGTTTGTGTCAAGCACTGCAACGCTGCTGGATTTTTCACGCTCAACAGTTTCCCGTGTGTATCAAGAATGGTCCATCACCCAAAGGACATCCAGCCATCTTGACACAATTGTGGGAAGCATTGGAGTCAACATGGGCCAGCATCCCTGTGGAATGCTTTCAACACCTTGTAGAGTCCATGCCCTGACGAATTGAGGCTGTTCTGAGGGCAACTCAATATTAGGAAGGTGTTCTTAATGTTTTGTACACTCAGTGTACTGTACTGTACAATCAATGATAATATACTGTACTGTACAATAAGTTATAATATACTATACAATCAATCATAATATACTACTGATAATATACTGTACCAGGGTTACGGTTAATTCCATTTAAATTCCAGTCAATTCAGAAAGTAAACCAATTTCCAATTCCAAATGTTCCTCATTGAAAAGCATTGGAAGAGTTGGAATTTCATTGTACTTCCTGAATTTACTGGAATTGAAATGGAATTTACCCCAACCCTGTACTGTACTGTACAATCAATGTGACCTTTGCTCCTCTATGACCTCCTGTATGACCTCCTGTAAGACCTCCTGTAAGACCTCCTGTATGACCTCCTGTATGACCTCCTGTAAGACCTCCTGTATGACTTCCTGTAAGACCTCCTGTATGACCTCCTGTATGACCTGTAGGTTTGCCACCAGAGAGAGGAATGCCCTGCTGCTTTATAACGGAAGGTTTAACGAGAAGCACGACTTCATCGCCTTGGAGATCATTGAGGAACAAATCCAGCTCACCTTCTCAGCAGGTAAGGACGTAAAGGATGTAGAAAGAGATGGCCGCCAGACTCTTCAATTTCCTCTGTTCCCTTTGCTTCGCTTCACTTCTCTCTCCTATCCCCCTCTCTGTGAAATACTACATCTCATTAACAGGGAGGTTCTGACCAACTGGGCAGGGATCAGAGTTTATGGAGCCAACCCTCAGATACCTGGGAAAATGTAGGGTAAACAGTGATCATGCAGTTCACCCAGTGGACCATGGTGTGTTGAGTTTGGCAGGGAATTACTGCCATGGAGGTACTAGCCTAAGTAAACAATCATTAACCGGCAGTCCATCTAACTATAATAGTGTTCACTGATCTGGATCAGTAGCATCGATATTAAAATAACTCAGAGGTCCAAAAGGTTGTGTTTTTCTGAACCTTCCCCTGCCCCATTCCTCAGCTTTATACCAAACCTTCCCCTGCCCCATTCCTCAGCTTTATACCAAACATTCCCCTGCCCCATTCCTCAGCTTTATACCAAACCTTCCCCTGCCCCATCCCTCAGCTTTATACCAAACCTTCCCCTGCCCCATCCATCAGCTTTATACCAAACCTTCCCCTGCCCCATCCATCAGCTTTATACCAAACCTTCCCCTGCCCCATCCATCAGCTTTATACCTAACCTTCCCCTGCCCCATTCCTCAGCTTTATACCAAATCTTCCCCTTCCCCATCCATCAGCTTTATACCAAACCTTCCCCTGCCCCATCCATCAGCTTTATACCAAACCTTCCCCTGCCCCATCCATCAGCTTTATACCAAACCTTCCCCTGCCCCATCCATCAGCTTTATACCAAACCTTCCCCTGCCCCATCCATCAGCTTTATACCAAACCTTCCCCTGCCCCATCCATCAGCTTTATACCAAACCTTCCCCTGCCCCATTCCTCAGCTTTATACCAAACCTTCCCCTGCCCCATCCATCAGCTTTATACCAAACCTTCCCCTGCCCCATTCCTCAGCTTTATACCAAACCTTCCCCTGCCCCATTCCTCAGCTTTATACCAAACCTTCCCCTTCCCCATCCATCAGCTTTATACCAAATCTTCCCCTGCCCCATCCATCAGCTTTATACCAAACCTTCCCCTGCCCCATCCGTCAGCTTTATACCAAACCTCCCCCTGCCCCATCCATCAGCTTTATACCTTCCCCTGCCCCATCCATCAGCTTTATACCTAACCTTCCCCTGCCCCATCCATCAGCTTTATACCTAACCTTCCCCTGCCCCATCCATCAGCTTTATACCTTCCCCTGCCCCATCCATCAGCTTTATACCTAACCTTCCCCTGCCCCATCCCTCAGCTTTATACCAAATCTTCCCCTGCCCCATCCATCAGCTTTATACCAAATCTTATAATAATAATAATAATATAATATGCCATTTAGCAGACGCTTTTATCCAAAGCGACTTACAGTCATGCGTGCATACATTTTTGTTTATGGGTGGTCCCGGGGATCGAACCCACTACCTTGGCGTTACAAGCGCCGTGCTCTACCAGTTGAGCTAGAGGACCACATCTTCCCCTGCCCCATCCCTCAGCTTTATACCAAACCTTCCCCTGCCCCATCCATCAGCTTTATACCAAACCTTCCCCTGCCCCATCCATCAGCTTTATACCAAACCTTCCCCTGCCCCATCCCTCAGCTTTATACCAAACCTTCCCCTGCCCCATCCATCAGCTTTATACCAAACCTTCCCCTGCCCCATCCATCAGCTTTATACCAAACCTTCCCCTGCCCCATCCCTCAGCTTTATACCAAACCTTCCCCTGCCCCATCCATCAGCTTTATACCAAACCTTCCCCTGCCCCATCCATCAGCTTTATACCAAACCTTCCCCTGCCCCATCCCTCAGCTTTATACCAAACCTTCCCCTGCCCCATCCATCAGCTTTATACCAAACCTTCCCCTGCCCCATCCATCAGCTTTATACCAAACCTTCCCCTGCCCCATCCATCAGCTTTATACCTAACCTTCCCCTGCCCCATCCATCAGCTTTATACCTAACCTTCCCCTGCCCCATCCCTCAGCTTTATACCAAACCTTCCCCTGCCCCATCCATCAGCTTTATACCAAACCTTCCCCTGCCCCATCCATCAGCTTTATACCAAATCTTCCCCTGCCCCATCCATCAGCTTTATACCAAACCTTCCCCTGCCCCATCCATCAGCTTTATACCAAACTTCCCCTGCCCCATCCATCAGCTTTATACCAAACCTTACCCCTGCCCCATCCATCAGCTTTATACCAAACCTTCCCCTGCCCCATCCATCAGCTTTATACCAAACCTTCCCCTGCCCCATCCATCAGCTTTATACCAAACCTTCCCACTGCCCCATCCCTCAGCTTTATACCAAACCTTCCCCTGCCCCATCCATCAGCTTTATACCAAACCTTCCCCTGCCCCATCCATCAGCTTTATACCAAACCTTCCCCTGCCCCATCCATCAGCTTTATACCAAACCTTCCCCTGCCCCATCCCTCAGCTTTATACCAAACCTTCCCCTGCCCCATCCATCAGCTTTATACCAAACCTTCCCCTGCCCCATCCATCAGCTTTATACCAAACCTTCCCCTGCCCCATCCATCAGCTTTATACCTAACCTTCCCCTGCCCCATCCATCAGCTTTATACCTAACCTTCCCCTGCCCCATCCCTCAGCTTTATACCAAACCTTCCCCTGCCCCATCCATCAGCTTTATACCAAACCTTCCCCTGCCCCATCCATCAGCTTTATACCAAATCTTCCCCTGCCCCATCCATCAGCTTTATACCAAACCTTCCCCTGCCCCATCCATCAGCTTTATACCAAACTTCCCCTGCCCCATCCATCAGCTTTATACCTAACCTTCCCCTGCCCCATCCATCAGCTTTATACCAAACCTTCCCCTGCCCCATCCATCAGCTTTATACCAAACCTTCCCCTGCCCCATCCATCAGCTTTATACCAAACCTTCCCCTGCCCCATCCATCAGCTTTATACCTAACCTTCCCCTGCCCCATCCATCAGCTTTATACCTAACCTTCCCCTGCCACATCCATCAGCTTTATACCAAACCTTCCCCTGCCCCATCCATCAGCTTTATACCTAACCTTCCCCTGCCCCATCCATCAGCTTTATACCAAACCTTCCCCTGCCCCATCCATCAGCTTTATACCAAACCTTCCCCTGCCCCATCCATCAGCTTTATACCAAACCTTCCCCTGCCCTATCCATCAGCTTTATACCAAACCTTCCCCTGCCCCATCCATCAGCTTTATACCAAACCTTCCCCTTCCCCATCCATCAGCTTTATACCTAACCTTCCCCTGCCCCATCCATCAGCTTTATACCAAACCTTCCCCTGCCCCATCCATCAGCTTTATACCAAACCTTCCCCTGCCCCATCCCTCAGCTTTATACCAAACCTTCCCCTGCCCCATCCATCATCTTTATACCAAATCTTCCCCTGCCCCATCCCTCAGCTTTATACCAAATCTTCCCCTGCCCCATCCATCAGCTTTATACCAAATCTTCCCCTGCCCCATCCATCAGCTTTATACCAAATCTTCCCCTGCCCCATCCATCAGCTTTATACCAAATCTTCCCCTGCCCCATCCATCAGCTTTATACCAAATCTTCCCCAGCCCCATCCATCTGTGTCGATTAAACTCTTTCCTGTTTCCTTTTTCCTGTTTCCCTTGCTCTAGGAGAAGCCAAAACCACTGTATTACCCTTTGTCCTAAGTGGGGTCAGTGATGGTCAGTGGCATAGAGTACAGCTACACTACTACAACAAGGTAAGCACGCTTCCTGGATAGGTGGAGGCTATCATGATAACATAAGATTTGATCACTAATAGAATGATGCATGTCCCTGTTTACTTGTTGTGCTTGGTGCCTACACCCAGACCACGCTTGGTCTGTGGGGTAAGTGACGAGTGGTGTGGTGGGCGCGGGGGAGAGGGGGGTGGTCATTGTTTGGAAATCCTTCAATCATAGTTACTAGGGCACCAGTAGGATTAGGATGTTATGAACCCAGATGAAGTGCCCTCATAAACCTCCAGGCCAAAGGTCATTCAAGTAAGGCACTCATACTATCCCCCCACCCCCCTCCAACTCCACACAGAGTCCAGAGCTTGAAAGGGTTGTCATGGGAACAGACACGCTAGTCTTTGTTTTGTTTTTAGAGTTGATTTGAGGCCATTGTAATGACAAAGAATAGGATTATTGAGATTCCATTTGAGCTTTGTTCTTTTGTTTTGAAAGACAATCTGGTTTAGGCCTGTGTAACTAAACGGGATGGCCTCAAACAGAGAAGTATTTCTGGATCCAGGGCTTTCTATGCAGGATTTGTAATGTTTATGGGCAGTGGAAGTTATTGTGGTCACCTTCAAAGATGGAACCCACTGAGAGTACTGTTCCTGGAAAGATATATTAGTTGTTTTTCGGAAGCTTTTTAGCCTTGCTAAACCTTTGAAAACGACCCAGTAGTGTGAGAATGTACTAGGGTGCCCTTACTCATACAGTACATTCATATGTGGTCCTCTGTAGCTCAGCTGGTAGAGCACGGCGCTTGTAACGCCAAGGTAGTGGGTTCGATCCCCGGGACCACCCATACACAAAAATGTATGCACGCATGACTGTAAGTCGCTTTGGATAAAAGCGTCTGCTAAATGGCATATTATTATTATTATTATATTTGGTCATATGCAGTCATACACTATCATTTTGTAAGCTGTAAGAACATGAGCCTGGTCTTAGACTGTCTTCTGGTTTACACATTTCCCCATGTGGACAACATCTAACATGGCACAGCAAGGTTGGGGTCAATTCTATTTTAACTCCAGTCAATTCAGGAAGTAAAGGGAAATTCCAATTGGAATTTGGTTTGCGTTCTAAATTGACTGGAATTGAAATGGAATTGACCCTAACCCTGTGGCACAGTGTCTCAAATAAATATTTTACAGACATATCCACATATATTTCTACAAACAAATGGCTCAAAATTTGAAGCCGAAGGGAAACTAGCCTAACTGGAGCAGTCTGTACATAACAAGCTTATAGAGGCAGTTTGGGTAGGAGGTGATGGATTGTAGTTATTAATGAACACCCTTTCCCCCTTGCCTGGTTTCTTTCTGTGTCGTCCTGTGATGTTGAGGGCAGCTGAGAGAGTACTGCTCCCTCTCCTCTCCTCACTTCATATTCCCTCCCCGTTGAGCCACACAAACCCTGGCTGGGCGCTCTTCCCCTGTGGGGTCATTCTCCGCCCGACAGTGAGTGGCTTGGGGTCCCGCTACGACACCAGCTGTTACCTACTTATACTCTGTTATACAAGTCCTGGCTGGGTCAATCGACTGCTAGAACAGATTTTGTCCCTTCTAAGATTTTGAAATCTCATTATTGATCGGGAAAGAGGATTAAATGTGGTTTGGTTTGAAACTTCAGTTGAATACCTTTTTTTAGGATGTTGATTGAACGTTTTCTTTGTGACTATCCAGCAGAACTTGAAATATTTGAACAATTCCCAACCCCCTTCCCTTCAACATATGTGCTAAATCAGGGTCACACAGTGTTTCTTGGTAGTCTTAAACAAATCTACTTTAAAACAAAAGTATACACCTTACACCCTTATGGGCTTAAAAAAAGAAGACACCTGTACCATGTCAGAGTTTAAAAATATTCAATTTTTAGTTTGCCTCCCAATATTACATTTTATATACAGTGGGGAAAAAAAGTATTTAGTCAGCCACCAATTGTGCAAGTTCTCCCACTTAAAAAGATGAGAGAGGCCTGTAATTTTCATGATAGGTACACGTCAACTATGACAGACAAAATGAGAAAAAAAAAATCCAGAAAATCACATTGTAGGATTTATAATGAATTTATTTGCAAATGATGGTGGAAAATAAGTATTTGGTCAATAACAAAAGTTTCTCAATACTTTGTTATATACCCTTTGTTGGCAATGACACAGGTCAAACGTTTTCTGTAAGTCTTCACAAGGTTTTCACACACTGTTGCTGGTATTTTGGCCCATTCCTCCATGCAGATCTCCTCTAGAGCAGTGATGTTTTGGGGCTGTCGCTGGGCAACACGGACTTTCAACTCCCTCCAAAGATTTTCTATGGGGTTGAGATCTGGAGACTGGCTAGGCCACTCCAGGACCTTGAAATGCTTCTTACGAAGCCACTCCTTCGTTGCCCGGGCGGTGTGTTTGGGATCATTGTCATGCTGAAAGACCCAGCCACGTTTCATCTTCAATGCCCTTGCTGATGGAAGGAGGTTTTCACTCAAAATCTCACGATACATGGCCCCATTCATTCTTTCCTTTACACGGATCAGTCGTCCTGGTCCCTTTGCAGAAAAACAGCCCCAAAGCATGATGTTTCCACCCCCATGCTTCGCAGTAGGTATGTTGTTCTTTGGATGCAACTCAGCATTCTTTGTCCTCCAAACACAACGTGTTGAGTTTTTACCAAAAAGTTATATTTTGGTTTCATCTGACCATATGACATTCTCCCAATCCTCTTCTGGATCATCCAAAAGCAAACTTCAGACGGGCCTGGACATGTTCTGGCTTAAGCAGGGGGACACGTCTGGCACTGCAGGATTTGTGTCCCTGGCGGCGTAGTGTGTTACTGATGGTAGGCTTTGTTACTTTGGTCCCAGCTCTCTGCAGGTCATTCACTAGGTCCCCCCGTGTGGTTCTGGGATTTTTGCTCACCGTTCTTGTGATCATTTTGACCCCACGAGGTGAGATCTTACGTGGAGCCCCAGATCGAGGGAGATTATCAGTGGTCTTGTATGTCTTCCATTTCCTAATAATTGCTCCCACAGTTGATTTCTTCAAACCAAGCTGCTTACCTATTGCAGATTCAGTCTTCCCAGCCTGGTGCAGGTCTACAATTTTGTTTCTGGTGTCCTTTGACAGCTCTTTGGTCTTGGCCATAGTGGAGTTTGGAGTGTGACTGTTTGAGGTTGTGGACAGGTGTCTTTTATACTGATAACAAGTTCAAACAGGTGCCATTAATACAGGTAACGAGTGGAGGACAGAGGAGCCTCTTAAAGAAGAAGTTACAGGTCTGTGAGAGCCAGAAATCTTGCTTGTTTTGTAGGTGACCAAATACTTATTTTCCACCATAATATGCAAATAAATTCATAAAAAATCCTACAATGTGATTTTCTGGATTTTTTTTCCTCAATTTGTTTGTCATAGTTGACGTGTACCTATGATGAAAATTACAGGCCTCTCTCATCTTTTTAAGTGGGAGAACTTGCACAATTGGTGGCTGACTAAATACTTTTTTGCCCCACTGTACATCACAGAAGACTGAAATATAACAAAACCGTTTGACATAGAAACAGCAGATTTTCTGCGAAAAACAAAAAAAGTTGATTAATTATGAAATTATAAAAAATATTAATAACTTTCCATCCATGAGGCCACTAGAGGGCGCTTTGGTCATTTGACTACAGGAAAGGGTTTTAAGACAGTACAGTATGGATCCAATGGATCATCGGGTTTAACGGGTCATTTCGCGCCATACTGTGCATGTGCAGGCCGTCAAATCAAAGGCACTTCTTTGATATAAAGTTGTTCCAGCTGTGTGTGTGTGTGTGTCTGCATAAGTGCGTGCATGCATGTGCATATGATGCAGATGGTGCATGCCAAGGCTGTGAAGGCCAGGATGAACCAGACTGAACCACACTCACTCACACACACACACACAAACACATGGTTTGGAATTTCCTCATTCAGCTCATTCTGCACATTTTGGAGAAGATATGTTAATAGCATTGTTTTAGCGATTTTTTTGTACTCAGGCTTTCCTAGTGGACAGGAAGATGGAACACGTGATTAATGTCTGTGAATTTATGAGAGTGTTTGTTTGGAATGTGTGGAAAAGAGAGGGGAACAAGTGTCACTGAGTTCCTGTTGTTTGGGTTGACCTTGACATGGTGACATAATGTGGATAGAATGCAGCCTGTATATGGCAACAGCAAGGGACATCTTGTATACTTTACAGTAGTTTTGCTATAATTAGGCTAGTATGAGCCCTATTCTGAGTATGCCCTATCTCGCATTAAACATAGTGCCAAACCAAACAGTCCAGAGCTCTGCAACAACAGCCTTCCAGGTCCCTTCTGTCAGAGCCCAGATGTCTAAGAGCTAAACCAGAACGGCCAACACAGTCAAATTACTTCCTTTTTATCTATCCCCCATAGCCCAACCATGAGAAAAGGGGGATAAAGAAACAGATGCCTGAAGAGTAGTATCTCTGTTACTGTGGAGTTATTAATGAAGGCCAGAACAATAGAAAGTAGTGTGGAGTGCAGCCGGCATTTGTGATTGGTCCGTAATCCAGATATGTAAATTCAGTATGCAAATATGTAAACTTTTGAACTGGGTAGAATGTATTGTGTGAAAAGAGCAAGACAATGTTAGTATTGCAGTAGTTGCATTGTAGTACAATGTTCAGGCCTCTCCTCTGTCAACAGAATGACGTCATAATTCATTTCTCCTCAGGACTCCTCAGGACCATATATGGATCTGTGCCATTCACTTTAAACTGGACTGTTTTTACAGCATGAGCAGTCGTGAGTAGATGCGCTTGTTTTGAGATCAAAAGCGAGAGCTACATGTAGCGACGTGTGCACATTTGTACATTTGTTCATATCCTTTGCTAGTTAGTGAGTTATTAGCCCAGTTATAGATAATTTGTAGTCAGCAATGGAGGAGTGATTGCTTCCTACAAGAGCACAAAAAGCTTTTTTTTGTCTTAAATGGGCAGTGTTGTATTTTGAGAGTAGCCAATAGGCAGAGGGTAGCATAATTTGTCTGATTCTCTTTAATAATGGAATGGGGATAATGATGCATTTTATTTTGTCAAGTGGTTTCGTGCATGAAACAACACAACAACATTTTCAGTCACCTCCGTGTCTGAAGGACAAGTGGATAAACAGGTTAATGTCAAGCCCTGCAGGTTTAAAAAAAAAATATTATGGAATGTAGGCCTACATTGAACACCACACATTGTCTGCTACTGTAGTCTGAACAATATAACAGCTATTTCCATGCTAAAATGTTATGAGATGCATTTTCTCCATTGTTTTTGATGGTAGGCCACTCTGGTAGGCCTACATTATGATCAAATAGCCACAGTAGCCTACTTGACCACTGTTAAAACTAACTTAAAGCAGGTACAGCCTCAGTGTAAACAGTAAACGCGCGCCGGAAGTTGCACATAATTTTCACAACGTTCAAGTTTGCGCTCAGCAGATGTGAAATTTGCTCAGTGACGAATTTTTTTTGTATGCTTCATGTTTGCCTATTGTCCAGTAGGTGTACATTAGCCACATTTCAAGGCTATAGATTAAAGTCCTCACCATTCCAAAGTGAAAGTCTGTATTTATCAAGGCTTGGCTGGATGACAGAAGAGTGATATGTCTTTATCTTTGTTTCATGGTGTTGTTTTCATGTTCAGAACAAATGACCAAGAGAGAGGGGAAAGGGATAGTGGTATACATCTAAATGTCATGAATGTCAAATACATTCAACGGAAACCCAGTGGAGCCTCAAGTCTCTGCAGTTTAATGGGAAAATTGCAATATTTTTTTTAAGTTAACCTTTTACAGAAAATGCATTTGAGTTTCATTTTGGTCTCTGCTAAAGTAGGGCATCTTTATTTTACAGATTATATTATATTAGAGAATTGAATAGTCACATGTACAGGGTTGCAGGATGTAATTACATGGTACAGTGAAATTCTTAAACTCTGAGCACCAACAATGCTGGACAAAGTAATGTCTTTAGTGTGGAGGGAAGGAGGAGAAGTGATGTTTGCCAGAAACACTACCTCTACTAGCGCCCTTTATCTGGAGATTAAACTCAGATGACAGACATTCCAAGAGTTTAATCCCACCAACAGAAATATACTCTTGATGGGAATTATAATGATCATCCCAATTCCTGACTGGAGGTGTCTTCAGAAGTAACAGTCTTATTCATATCCTGTGCTGTCACTCAGTAGGGAATATTTGGACACTTCACAACAAAGTTGCTTTGATTACATATTGGTAGCTCTTAGCATGAATCTTGGCAATGGGGCTTGAAAGGCCAACAGTTAGAGCAGCAAGTCGTCTATTTTCCATCAACCCAGACTTTGGAGAGTGATAGCAGGACCCGCCCAGATCAAATTACTGTCGGGTTCCTCTATTGTTCCCAGAGTCACCCAGAATAAATATGTCATCAGGGAAACTGATATGCTCATTGTGTGGAATGTCATCCCTGCTAGAGCAATCAGTTATCTGAAACTCGACTCTCAGCACCCAATGGGCATCCCCCGTTTGTTAACTTGTGACATCTGGAATGCTGTCATCAATTAGGGAATGTCTCAGAGATTGATAGTAGTCTATATGACTATCAGGGGTGGGTGACAGTAATGTGACTATTGTGACTAGCCTGATATTTCTACCAAGGAGATTACTCTTAAACACAATGAGCCATTGAGTTTGGTTTGTACCAAAATCCCAGCATGTATCTCTAAAAGAAACAGCTGTTCCTACAATATTGTTGTACCTCTTCCTGTTGTCACACCTGCAGTTGCATAGGTCATCCTCCCTGCAATGTCACATCCCCACAGGTAGGAGATCAAAGGTCCACACACACACATACAGATTGATAGGAACACACATACAGATTTTGTATTTGCACACACAGATACACATTGAGGGGAAATAAGGTCACTGAACGTGACGCTGCTTGGGGAGAACTCAGTGGATGTGGTGTTAATAGCTTGAAAAAGTGCAGAGCCGTGAGATGAGTTGCAGGGGATGCTGATGATATCTCCAATTGTTGTTACTGCTTGGTGGAAACTTGGGGTCCCAGGGGAGGATTTGACACAGAATGGCGTTCTCAGTCTATGGTATCGCTTCACCCACCAGTGTCCCGCTCCCATAATCCAATTACACTCCAACAGTCAATGGTACCTCAGCTTCACTGAGCTATAACAGCCTTTTCACGCTGGGTTTGAGCCCAGGGGTTCTGCTATCCCCAAATACTATAGCACCAAACAAACAGTCCTGCGCTTCAAAAAGGGGAAACCTGCACGCCTCAGTGATGCACCTGAATCAAAATGTCAGTCCATCAGACCATGACCTTCATTAGTCATCGAGAAGCTGTTCCCCTTCCAAGAACGACAGTATGGTTCCTCACTTGTATGGCTGAAAGCCCCAATTTTCTCACTGGATATTGGTACCTTAGTTTATTTCATATTACCTCCTTTCTCTTTCCAGCCCAATATTGGTCGCCTTGGCATCCCCCACGGACCATCAGGAGAGAAGGTGGCAGTCGTTGCTGTGGACGACTGCGACATCGCCATGGCAATTGGTTTTGGTGGCCAGATCGGAAACTACTCTTGTGCCGCCCAGGGCACGCAGACAGGACAGAAGAAGTGAGTGCAGAGTCTCACAGGGTTTATCCAGCCTCCTGTCGGGCCAATCTTAGCTTTTCACCCCTCATGTGGAAAGTTGTGACAGCAATCGCCATTTGGTTTCCCATGTTACATCTCAGAAAGTTCTGATGCAGTAGACATAAAACCTACATCAGTATTAATATGTCCTATTTACTTCTTTACCTTATGATTCTTTATTCTTATGCAAATGCCCATATCTAAATATGTTTCTTATTCAAATGTAAATCGCACCCTGCTAGGGACAAGTTTGTTGGGTATTAGTAAATCACAAGATTTCACAATAGAGGGCATTTTGTTATATGCGAGCAGTGCATTTTTCGTAACTTGTGATATGAGTTCCTGTTACGCCAGCACTGGTTCCACTAAACAGTGGAGGTTTTGATGCAGGGGTAAAGTAGTTGTAAGAGGCTTGACCAGCCTTTTGGTTTGTGTGTTGGGTCACAATGTCATAACAATGTTCTAGTGTGGTTGTAGTGTGATTGGTGCACTGTAATGTCAATCAGAGAATCGTACTCATACCAAAAGGCCTTGACTCTCCATCCAGAATCAGACCCAGCTGATGGTTGTTCTATGTTGTCCATCTCTAGGTCCCTGGACCTGACCGGGCCACTACTTCTGGGCGGTGTTCCCAACCTGCCGGAGGATTTCCCCGTCCGGAACCGAGATTTTGTGGGCTGCATGAGAGACCTGACTATAGACAGCAAGCCTGTGGACATGGCCAGTTATGTGGCCAACAACGGCACGGACGCAGGTCTGTTCTAATCCTCACATAGGTGGTATTCATTTGATAGTTGTCTTCTGTAGCTCAGTTGGTAGAGCATGGTGCTTGTAATGCCAGGATATAGTGGGTTCGATTCTCAGGACCACTCTGTATGTAAAATCTGTGCACTCATGACTGTAAGTTGCTTTGTATAAAAGCGTCTGCTAAATGGCATATTTCAACGTATTAGTTTGATATTTTTGTCTAACCCTATTGATGCCACTGATTGTCATAAGCCTGTATTACATGTCTGTATTCAGGGTGCACAGCGAAGAAGGACTACTGCACTCAAAGTATGTGTCTGAACGGAGGAGTCTGTGTGAACAAGTGGAGCACATACTCCTGTGGCTGTCCCCTGGGCTACGGAGGGAAGAACTGTGAACAAGGTAAAGGATTTTAGGAAAAGTGTATTGTATATATTTTGGGGGGTTTCCTGTACGGGTGTGTGTCAGTCTGTATATCGTGTGTGTGTGTGTGCATGTGCCCTGTGTGTATGTAGCTATGTGTTTTATTGTGTGTCTCATAATTAATTCCAAATTAGTTCAAAAAGCTTCAGTCACACTCCACAAGGCTAGCGGTGAGGAAACAGACAAGGTCAATGTGGACAAGTTTCCTGAGAATCTCCACATTCCTACATTCCACATACACACTGACCCTAACCCTGGCCCTGTTGGAATACTTTACTAATGCATCCTTCCGTCCCGGCCAGCTTGAGGTAATCACAGATCTCAACTGGCCTTATTGATGGAAGCAATAGACTGATGGTAACCTGCTTTTCACCTATCCTCAAGGAAGGAAGGAAGGAAGGAAGGAAGGAAGGAAGGAAGGAAGGAAGGAAGGAAGGAAGGAAGGAAGGAAGGAAGGAAGGAAGGAAGGAAGGAAGGATGGAAGGAAGGAAGGAAGGAAGGAAGGAAGGAAGGAAGGAAGGAAGGAAGGAAGGAAGGAAGGAAGGAAGGAAGGAAGGAAGGAAGGAAGGAAGGATTTTTTAAGTATTTACATTTGGTCCAGGGCCACATGCCCACTACTACATTTGTGATCTGATTATTACCCAGAAGCATTATGGTGCAGTCAGTTATACAAAAAGGGTATAATATTTATGAAGGACATTGTAAAAAAGAACGGTAAAATGATGTCACACAAGCAACTAACAACAGTGTATGGAGGTAATAATAATAATATGCCATTTAGCAGACGCTTTTATCCAAAGCGACTTACAGTCATGCGTGCATACATTTTTGTGTATGGGTGGTCCCGGGGATCGAACCCACTACCTTGGTGTTACAAGCGCCGTGCTCTACCAGCTGAGCTACAGAGGACCACAGGTGGATGCTGAATACAAAATTATAACCAACTCATCGAGGCACTGCCACAAAATTGGAAGAGACAATTACTTAAAGAAGAAATTAAAGAATGAGTCTGTCTGCCACCCATTAAAAATCATAAATGGCTTAAAATGATTACCATAAATAGAAAAATGTATCAGTTTCACTTAAAGTCAAAAGGTTTGACAGCAATACCGTATAAAATTCAACTCAGTTGGGAACAGGATTTTTATGTTCCAATACCTTGGGATCAGGTCTATGAACCTTCGAGCGGTACCGGTGCATCAAGTCTGACACCAACAGGCTCCTGAACAGCTTCAATCCCCAAGCCATAAGACTGCTAAATAGCTAACTAAATAGCTAACAAAATGGCTACGCTGACTATCTGAGTTGACCCTTGTATTTAATTACATTTGTATTTTTGCACTGTCTCTATGCACACTCACAGGGCCCTACACACTACGAACACTGATACTCCAACACACACACACTCACAGGGCCCTACACACTACGTGCACTGATACTCCAACACACACACAAACACTCACTCCATCATTTGCTCACACACACATAATATGCACATACATTTATACTGACTCTACACACACCCACTCACATACAATCATCATATACGCTGCTGCTACTCTGTTTATCATATATCCTGATGTTTAGTCACCTTACCCCTATGCATATCTACCTCTATCACTCCAGTATCCCTGCACAGTGTAAATATGGTACTGGAACTGACCCTGTATATTGTATGCTTACTTACTTTCTCATATTCTTCTTCTTTTTATTTCTCATGTGTTTTTGTTCTACCTTTTTATTTTTAGTATTACATTGTTATTGATTACTGCATTGTTGGATTTAGAGCTTGTAAGAAAGGCATTTCACTGTACTTGTGCAAGTGACATTAAAACGTACAACTTGAAACATATAAAACAACAATTGAAACATCAATCCGTTCGTTTCAATTTAAGCTATAAAATACTTAAGAAAAAGAATGCTCAATATATGGGGTATTGAACAGTCAGCCTTGTGCAGACTCTGCCACAAGGAAACAGAATCAATAGAACAGTCAGCCTTGTGCAGACTCTGCCACAAGGAAACAGAATCAATAGAACAGTCAGCCTTGTGCAGACTCTGCCACGAGGAAACAGAATCAATAGAACAGTCAGCCTTGTGCATGCTCTGCCACGAGGAAACAGAATCAATAGAACAGTCAGCCTTGTGCAGACTGTGCCACGAGGAAACAGAATCAATAGAACAGTCAGCCCTGTGCAGACTCTGCCACAAAGAAATCAATAGAACATATTTTCTGGTACTGTCCATCGGTGGCTCGTTTTTGGAGTCAGGTCCAGGAATGGTTGTTAGGTATTAATATCAGGGTTCAGATGGACCTGCAAACTGTATTGTTAGAGGATCTGAAAAACCAAGATCAGTCAATGGGAAATATCATTATACTCTTGGGTAAAGTGTTTCTTTTTAGGACAATATCAGTATAAATGTTACAAATATGGAGGTTCAGGACCCTTCAGTAGTTCAGTAAGACATCACAGTCAAATGGAGGGATGGACTGCTAAAGAAAATAACAAAATGGCATTATACTGAGAAAGATGGGTTAACCTGTGGACATCGGAGGGTTGGAGTTAGATCAGAAAGCATGGTGGATTGGCCGCTGTGGGTGAAAATCCAGCACTTGAAGAAAGAGGAAATTAGAAATATATGTATAATTATTTAAAGTGGAAATCAGCAGTTGCTACATCCATTTTTGGATTTATAAGTTCATTATATACAGTGGGGGGGAAAAGTATTTAGTCAGCCACCAATTGTGCAAGTTCTCCCACTTAAAAAGATGAGAGAGGCCTGTAATTTTCATCATAGGTACACGTCAGCTATGACAGACAAATTGAGATTTTTTTTCTCCAGAAAATCACATTGTAGGATTTTTGATGAATTTATTTGCAAATTATGGTGGAAAATAAGTATTTGGTCACCTACAAACAAGCAAGATTTCTGGCTCTCACAGACCTGTAACTTCTTCTTTAAGAGGCTCCTCTGTCCTCCACTCGTTACCTGTATTAATGGCACCTGTTTGAACTTGTTATCAGTATAAAAGACACCTGTCCACAACCTCAAACAGTCACACTCCAAACTCCACTATGGCCAAGACCAAAGAGCTGTCAAAGGACACCAGAAACAAAATTGTAGACCTGCACCAAGCTGGGAAGACTGAATCTGCAATAGGTAAGCAGCTTGGTTTGAAGAAATCAACTGTGGGAGCAATTATTAGGAAATGGAAGACATACAAGACCACTGATAATCTCCCTCGATCTGGGGCTCCACGCAAGATCTCACCCCGTGGGGTCAAAATGATCACAAGAACGGTGAGCAAAAATCCCAGAACCACACGGGGGGACCTAGTGAATGACCTGCAGAGAGCTGGGACCAAAGTAACAAAGCCTACCATCAGTAACACACTACGCCGCCAGGGACTCAAATCCTGCAGTGCCAGACGTGTCCCCCTGCTTAAGCCAGTACATGTCCAGGCCCGTCTGAAGTTTGCTAGAGTGCATTTGGATGTTCCAGAAGAGGATTGGGAGAATGTCATATGGTCAGATGAAACCAAAATATAACTTTTTGGTAAAAACTCAACTCGTCGTGTTTGGAGGACAAAGAATGCTTAGTTGCATCCAAAGAACACCATACCTACTGTGAAGCATGGGGGTGGAAACATCATGCTTTGGGGCTGTTTTTCTGCAAAGGGACCAGGACGACTGATCCGTGTAAAGGAAAGAATGAATGGGGCCATGTATCGTGAGATTTTGAATAATAATGAAAACCTCTTTCCATCAGCAAGGGCATTGAAGATGAAACGTGGCTGGGTCTTTCAGCATGACAATGATCCCAAACACACCGCCCGGGCAACGAAGGAGTGGCTTCGTAAGAAACATTTCAAGGTCCTGGAGTGGCCTAGCCAGTCTCCAGATCTCAAACCCATTGAGTTGAAAGTCTGTGTTGCCCAGCGACAGCCCCAAAACATCACTGCTCTAGAGGAGATCTGCATGGAGGAATGGGCCAAAATACCAGCAACAGTGTGTGACAACCTTGTGAAGATTTACAGAAAACGTTTGACCTGTGTCATTGCCAACAAAGGATATATAACAAAGTATTGAGAAACTTTTGTTATTGACCAAATACTTATTTTCCACCATAATTTGCAAATACATTCATTAAAAATCCTACAATGTGATTTTCTGGATTTTTCTTCCTCATTTTGTCTGTCATAGTTGACGTGTACCTATGATGAAAATTACAGGCCTCTCTCATCTTTTTAAGTGGGAGAACTTGCACAATTGGTGGCTGACTAAATACTTTTTTCCCCCACTGTATACCCATTGATTCTTGAAGAATATAACTTATGAATGCCTCATGAGCTTAGTTCAACTGTCGTACCCCATCAGAACCCAAAATATAAGCTTGTTTTACTCCAAAGTTTATAAACATAGAAAATGTAAACAAACACTATATAGCCTCAAACTCGGTTACAACAATAATTTGTATATCATTGATGGTCAATCCTTGCATCCATAGCTCTTTCTATGAATTTGTGAGTGATTACATTTCTCCAGCCCCATCCCTCAGCTTTTTACCAAACCAGGGGTGGGAGATCACTTTATTTTTTTCTATTGCTGATTGCCACTTTAACTACAGGCACTGTAGATCTGAGCGAAATAGCTGGAAGTAGCAGTAGAAGTATTGTAGTCCGTTAGTTTACTTCATTAGGGTAGGGATGGTAGGGTAGGGGGGATTATAAATTATGCAGACAATGATAGATAGAACCTACAATCTATCTGTAATATTATAACTGATCTACCCCCCCTAATTGGCTTTATGTTTTCAGAAAGTTTCACCCAATTCATAGAAGTACCTTGAAAGGGTGATAGGGCACAGTGAGTGTAAACGCTGTTGCAACCAATGACCTGGCGGGATGTCTCCAAATGTCTCAGGCTGTGAAATACAGCTAATTACCGGGCAATATCTGGGCGTGTCCACGTGTGTGTGTTTCTCAATCTCATTAAAATCTATGTTCTTACAAGAATGTGATACTGAAGATGAATGTATGTACATTATGTATAAGGAACAGTTGCATGATTGTGAATCACAATAACAGGGTCATTCCACCAATTCTGTGCCTTTTGAACTTGGTCAAACAAAACTTTGGATTTCATCACATTTTTACATTCTGTCATAAAGAGCACATGTTCAACCATAAAAAACAAGTTTTCCCATCTCAAGAAAAAATGACTATAGTATGTGCCTATTAAGTGCCAAATAAAGTAAGGGGTTGACCTTGACAGGGTTGACGATTTATTGTTAAATCAGCCATAAATGCCCTTCTGACAGGGGGCATGGAAACTTGTTGTGTGCAAAAGGGAGAGGCAATTGAACGCAAGCTTCACAAAAACAAGGAAATTGTTAAAACATTTCTAGCCTGTCTATCTATGAGTGACAGGGTTGACGTGTATCGCTCAACCGGCTCACTTTTCCTCCACAAAACACCAGAAAATGGCCAAGAAGAGTAGAAACAGCTCACCTGCTTTTACTCTATGATTTAACTATTATATGTTCAATGTTTATTTAGATTTTTGTATTTATGTTTTGGAATAGTTTCACCATATTGAAACGAGTTCCATTCACGTAAAAGGATTGACCTTAAAATGAGGGACAGATGTAAATAAATCACTAATCACATAAAATAAACTATAATCTTCAGTAATGACTTTGTCAAAGCAGCAAAATAACTAGGGCTTTACAAAGATGGTGAAATTTAGAGACATTTAGGGATTAAGTGGTTTAATAAAATATTCCTAGAAGTGACACAGGATTGACGGAGGGACATGTCAAATGCTGAATATTGGCACTTTAGCAAGCCTTTATTCATATAAAAACACAGATTTATTGAATTGTCCATGTGGTCTATATTAAAGGGCACTTCATTTAATATAACAGTCTTTTAAAATGCAACATTGGTGCACAATTTCTATCAAAGGCACTCATTTCGTGGAACGACCCATTAATCACCATTTCATGTGGATGTTTAAGCTGTGATTGTCCAGGAAGCAATGAACAAGTACAGACTCTATCCACAACTTTTACTGCTGAGCTCATCCTCTGCAAGACCATACACACAGAAGAGCTACCTGTATGGCAATGATGTAATGATAGCCCCTGGATGTGTTGCCATGGCTTTGTAGTCAGGATTTAGTCAGGCTATTTGGAACAAGGCCTAGAACGGACCTAGTCAATCGAGCCTCTCGTGTGGAATTACCAAAGTCATTTTGTGATTAAGTAACATTTGACTTGTATTCATTTGACTCTAGTTGGTTCTCCAACTAAAGTGACCCTATCTGTTTCCCTTCCTCCAGTCATGCCCTCCCCGCAGCACTTCGACGGCCATGCCCTGGTGTGGTGGCGCGAGCCGGAGGTCACCATCAGTGTGCCCTGGTACATGGGCTTGATGTTCAGAACCAGGCAGAGCTCTGGCACCCTGCTGCAGGCCAACGCTGGGGACTTCTCCAAGATACACCTCCTGGTGAGTAGAGCGGGGCAGCCCACAGCCTACACAACACACAGGGCCTTCCTCCATGTTATTAAGGCCGGGTAAAGGCTAAGCTAATGCTATGATAAGGTTAACGTAATGCTATGATAAGGCTAAGCTAATGCTATGATAAGGTTAACGTAATGCTATGATAAGGCTAAGCTAATGCTATGATAAGGTTAAGCTAATGCTATGATAAGGCTAAGCTAATGCTACGATAAGGTTAAGCTAATGCTATGATAAGGCTACGCTAATGCTATGATAAGGTTAAGCTAATGCTATGATAAGGTTAAGCTAATATGCTGGCGTTAAATGACTCAACCTCATGTTCTCTCTTTCTTGTCCCCCCCCCCCCTTCTCTCATGTCACCCTCCTCTCTCTCCCTCTTTCTCTGCCTTCCATCTGCTTTCTCTCTCACCATCTCCCTCTCTCCCTGACTCCAGATCAGCGGCAGACATGTGCGTTTCCAGGTGTTCCTGGGGGTGAAGCGGGTTGCCCTGCTGGACTTCTCTCAGGTCAGGGTGAACGACGGGGAGTGGCACCACGTCCTGGTGGAGCTGAAGAGTATCAAAGACGGGAAGGACATCAAATACATGGCCCTGGTATCACTGGACTACGGCATGTTCCAGGTACTCACTGACTCACTGACTGGCAGCACTGTATTTGTGTGTTCTGTACTAGTGTTTGTGAATGTAATGTATGATATGTATGCACAATACACATGGTCTTTGCAAGTGTTCTATGGGTGGGTGCATTCCACAGAGGTCAGTGGAGATAGGCAATGAGCTGCCAGGACTGAGGCTGAGGAGTCTGTTTGTGGGGGGGCTGAGGAAGGAGGATGGGACAGTCCAGAGCGGACTCAAGGGCTGCATGCAGGTGAGCCTCACACACACCATTTATCTGTACCGTACTCATTAGTCAACGCCAACACAACACTGATGGTCCTCTACTCTCCTGTGTTGCCAGGGCGTGCGGATGGGCGAGACGTCCACCAACCTGGCCAACGTCAACATGCTTCAGGGTCAGAAGGTCCGAGTGGAGGATGGTTGTGAGGTGGCTAACCCCTGCACCGCTAACGTCTGCCCTGAGCACAGCCGCTGCACCGACAACTGGAGCTCACATACCTGTATGTGCCACCCCGGTAAGCCCCCCGAACAGGACCCACTACCATAAAAAAATACCTTTAGTAGGTTGTCCATCCACTCCGCCCAGAGTGGGTCAAAAAACACACTTTGGTGTTGACATTTCACTTCCTTATGTTAGAAAATACATTTTATCAAGACAAATATGATTCATCATGTTCTGAATCGTTCAGTGGGGTCTTTCTCCATCATTTCATTAACATTATATCCAAGTAGTCGGATTTCGTAACCTAATACGTCTAATAATAAGCACCGAGCTCTGTTGACATAGCGGTACAGGTTTCTCATAATAACATTTAGAGGATTAATATGAACAGTGTATACTCAAATATGAAAATACTACATGTCATGTCTCAAAATCGATATCCATCTTACCTCTATATTGTTTTATGTCCTGCGGGATCCAAGAAGCAAGATGACGAGTTCAACTGTTTTTTTCTCTAGCCTCCATTGATTTAGTGACCCTAATTCTGGCCATCCTACAATGGTAAAAACTCCAATAACTTTTGAACGGATTATGATAGAGACTTGGGGTTTGGACCATTGGTTTTCTTAGAGGATTATTCACTCATTGGTCAAACTGTGTGTTTATATAATTTATTCCCAGGGTACTTTGGGAGGGACTGTGTGGACGCGTGTCTCCTGAATCCCTGTCAGCGTGTGTCCACCTGTGTCCGCCAGCCCAGTTCCCCCCATGGCTACAGCTGCCAGTGTGACCACAACTCCTACGGACAGTACTGCCAGAACAAGTGAGTACCGACACTGATCTAAGGACAGTTTCTTTTTGGGGGGTTTTGGGCTTTTTAGTGTCCGTTTTTTAACTCACCTGGAGATCATTAAACCCCCACCTGCTATGAGTCAGCGCCAGTTCTGATATTTCTGGAAACAATTCACTTTGTTTCAGAGCTTACCCCAGTAACCCCACTTAACCCCTACCGTACCACTCAGCACATTCCATCAACCTGTGTAGTAATTTGGTTTTGTAAACTGTTGCCCCTTGGCTTTGGTATTCGTTGGTGTTAAATAGATCTATAGTAGTTTTGGCATTGGCTTAGCATATTTCAACTCCCTTATGATTTGCTCATGGTTTTCATTGGTGTATCCTTGCTTGCTATGATAAACGGGGTTCTAAGTGGAATAACACTTGGTTCTGTTGTTCTCCAGAGCCAACCTACCCTGTGCTCGTGGCTGGTGGGGGAACCCTGTCTGTGGCCCATGTAACTGTGATGTCAGCAAAGGGTTCTACCGAGACTGCAACAAGACCACTGGGGACTGCCGCTGTAAGGTACGGAAAAGTATTAACCACACGTAGTCTCTTCTGGGCATGTGTTCTAGCTGTCCCCATTCCTTCCTGTGTTGCATGCTCAGCTCATGCTCTCTCCTGCCTTCAGGATAACTACTACCGGCCAGAGGGAGGGGACACTTGCTACTCCTGTGAGTGTTTCCAGCTTGGCGCCATGTCACGCTCCTGCCACCCTCACACGGGCCAGTGTCAGTGCAGGACAGGCGTGATCGGGCGCCAGTGTAACCGCTGTGACAACCCCTTTGCCGAGGTCACCTCCAGCGGGTGCATGGGTAAGCATCTTACTAACTCTTACTAAAGCATCTTACTAACTCATTCGCTCCCTGACCTAAACCCTAACTCATTTGCTCCCTGACCCTGACCTAAACCCTAACTCATTCGCTCCCTGACCTTGACCCTGACCCTAATCCTAACTAATTCGCTCCCTGACCCTGACCCTGACCCTGACCCTAACTCTTACTAACTAATTCGCTCCCTGACCCTGACCCTGACCCTAACTCATTCGCTCCCTGACCCTGACCCTGACCCTGACCCTAACCCTTACTAACTAATTCGCTCCCTGACCTTGACCCTGACCCTAACTCCTTCGCTCCCTGATCAAAGACTGCTTGTTCTTGGTTGTTCTAATCTCTTCACTAGTTGTATATGAGGGCTGTCCCAAGGCCTTTGATGCAGGGATCTGGTGGCCAAAGACCCAGTTTGGACAACCCGCTGCCATGAAGTGTCCCAAACGATCCACAGGTAAGCACAGCAACCCTTTTCAGAATGTGAAAATGTATTGGAAATGCATACATTTTATTGAAATTTTACCAGACTATACTGTTCATACTGTTGTTATCCTGTTGATTTCCTCAACATGTCAGCTAAAAGGCAATAGAGGTCAACAGAGAATCGTCACAATCAGTCCTCCTCTTCCTTACCCTTCTCTCCCCGTCTTTCTCCTCCCCACTAGGCACTGCCATCCGCCACTGCAGCGATGAGAACGGCTGGCTGCCTCCCGATCTCTTCAACTGCACCTCTCTCACCTTCTCTCAGCTGAAAAAAGAGGTATGTCTTGATTTAACCTTTATTCAAATGCAGGAAGTCCCATTGAGATTAAAACCCTCCTTTATCATTGAGACACCTGTCTGACCTCTGACCTCTCCCTGACCTCTGGCCTTCAGGACGAGGAGCTGCAACTCAACAGCTCCAGGATGGACGGTGAGAGGTCAAAGGGCATGGCCAGCATGCTGCGTAGCGCCACCAACCGCACGGCGGACCTCCAGGGCAACGACGTGAAGACGGCCTACAGCCTCCTGACCCGCCTGCTGCAGTACGAGAGCCAACAGCTGGGCTTCGACATGGCCACCACGAGAGACATTCACTTCCATGAGGTGGGCCACTAGAAACATGCTTCAACTAGTGTTTACATTTACATTTACCTCATTTAGCAGACACTCTTATCCAGAGCCACTTACAAATTGGTGCATTCAACTTATGATAGCCAGTGGGACAACCACTTTATTTTATTTTTTTATGGGGGGTGGGGGAAGAAGGATTACTTTATACTATTCCAGGTATTCCTTAAAGAGGTAGGGATTCAAGTGTCTCCGGAAGGTGGTCAGTGACTCCGCTGTCCTGGCGTCGTGGGGGAGCTTGTTCCACCATTGGGGTGCCAGAGCAGCGAATAGCTTTGACTGGGCTGAGCGGGAACTGTGCTTCCGTAGAGGTAGGGGAGCTAGCAGGCCAGAGGTGGATGAACGTAGTGCCCTCGTTTGGGTGTCGGGTCTGATCAGAGCCTGAAGGTAAGGAGGTGCCGTTCCCCTCACAGCTCCGTAGGCAAGCACCATGGTCTTGTAGTAGATGCGAGCCTCAACTGGAAGCCAGTGGAGTGTGCGGAGGAGCGGGGTGACATGAGAGAACTTGGGAAGGTTGAACACCAGACGGGCTGCAGCGTTCTGGATAAGTTGTAGGGGTTTAATGGCACAGGCAGGGAGCCCAGCCAACAGCGAGTTGCAGTAATCCAGATGGGAGATGACAAGTGCCTGGATTAGGACCTGTGCCGCTTTCTGTGTAAGGTAGGGTCGTACTCTGCGAATGTTGTAGAGCATGAACCTGCAGGATCGGGTCACCGCTTTGATGTTAGCGGAGAACGACAGGGTGTTGTCCAGGGTCACGCCAAGGTTCTTTGCACTCTGGGAGGAGGACACAATGGAGTTGTCAACTGTGATGGCGAGATCATGGAGCGGGAAGTCCTTCCCCGGGAGGAAGAGCAGCTCCGTTTTGCCGAGGTTCAGCTTGAGGTGGTGATCCGACATCCATACTGATATGTCTGCCAGACATGCAGAGATGCGATTCGCCACCTGGTTATCAGAAGGGGGAAAGGAAAACATTAATTGTGTGTCGTCTGCGTAGTAATGATAGGAGAGACCATGTGAGGATATGACAGGACAGAGCCAAGTTACTTGGTGTATAGAGAGAATAGGAGAGGGCCTAGAACTGAGCACTGGGGGACACCAGTGGTGAGAGCACGTGGTGCGGAGACAGATTCTCGCCACGCCACCTGGTAGGAGCGACCTGTCAGGTAGGACGCAATTCAAGAGTGAGCAGCGCCTGAGATGCCCAACTCGGAGAGGGTGGAGAGGAGGATCTGATGGTTCACAGTATCAAAGGCAGCGGATAGGTCTAGAAGGATAAGAGCAGAGGAGAGAGAGTTAGCTTTAGCAGTGCCATGTAGTGCTCTTCCTCAGCTCTCAAATAATGTGTTGAGGTTGAAATGATAAGATAGACAGGATAGTTATGGAGTTAGCAGGTTCATTGGCCTTAGCAACACTACTAATTACAATGATGTCAGGAACTCATACACTCTTAGAACCTAAAAGGGTTCTTTAGTTGTCCCCATAGGAGAACCCTTTTGAAGAACCCTTTTTGGTTACAGGTAGAACCCTTTTTGGTTTCAGGTAGAACTCTTTTGGGTTCCATATAGAACCCTCTATGGAAAGGGTTCTATGTGGAACTCAAAAAGGTTCTACCTGGAACCAAAAGGGTTCTACCTGGAACCAAAAAGAGTTATTCACAAGGGTTCTCCTATGGGGACAGCTGAAGAACCCTTTCAGGTTCAGGACCTTTTTTTCTAAAAGTGTAGAAATATACCCTCAAATATTCTCAAGTTCTCTATCATATGTTTACCCTAAATGTTCTCTCACAGTTTTCGGAGACTCGCTCAAAGTTGAATGAATGACCCACATTGTTAAGCTCAACTGCTTAAGGATCCTACTAACTTTAAGTCGCTAATAGTTTCCACAAATCCTGCTTATAGCTGGTACTGGTTTGCTAAGAGCCTGTTGTCCCAGTTGGAGATTTCTCCCCCTATAGAGAATGTGATCCAGAGCCTATTATGTGTAAGTAATACAGCGGAATGATTAGCATGTTCTCTATGAGCTTTATTAACATGCTCAATGAGCTTTATGACCAGACTGGGCGCTGATGGCTAACAGTGTGCATTCTTGGCACCAGCCCCAGCTCTTTGGGATGTGTTAGATGCCAGAAGGTGCAGCTGGAAGGGTTTAGGGTGTCAAGTACCAATCAGAATGGGTGATTGAGCCAATGAAAGTAGCAGTTCCCCCAGGGGTGGTTGGGCGTGGGGCCAGATTGCACAGGTGCTGTTATGAGATGATGTCTGTACAGTGACCCCCCCCCCTTCCTTTATAGGGCAGCTCTCCTTTCCTTCTCTTGTTTTCTTTGTTTCTCTCTGTTCTGTTGACATTGTTTTCACATGCTTCATTTGGGATATATGATACCAATTATGCATTCTGTTTGTCTCGGGTGTATACTGGCCACACAGGTCAATGCAGAGTACTACATAGTAAAGATGTGATGTAGGTGTATGACATGCCCTGTTAATATTCTAGAACATGGTCCGAGCGGGCAGTGCCATCCTGGACCCTGCTAACAGAGGACACTGGGAGCAGATCCAGCGTTCCGAAGGTGGTACAGCCCTACTACTGCACAGCTTTGAGGATTACGCACAAGCCCTGGCCCAAAACATGAGGAAGACCTACCTGAAACCCTTTACTGTTGTCACGGAAAACATGAGTGAGTCCATCTGCAGTGCAATGACACAATTATTTTGTTGCAGTAACATAATTTGCATGACTAATTAACGCACAGTAAGGTTGCATTGTGCATTTAAAACAACCTACCACCAATACCTCTCGTGTGAGACAAGCATAATTATCACACATTCTCTCTCTCTGTGCTCACAGTTGTTTCTGTGGATTACTTGGACCCGTCCAGGCCAGAACGAACAAACATCCCGCATTTCCAAGAGATCCAGGAGGCCTATTCCAAAGAGATGGAATCTTCTGTCCGCTTCCCAGAATTCCCAACACAGCACGAGCAGCCAGAGGAGGTTAAAGGTGGGATTAAAGTAGTAGAACAGCATAGACATTTTGTGGTTCATTACGTCGCTTTCACAACGTAAATAGTCAGTTAATTAAAGAGGCAATCTGCGATTGCGACATCCATTTTTGGACTTTTAAATTAATTATATATACTCATTCATTCTTGAAGATTCTAACTTAACCTTCCCGTTGTCCTAGGGTCAAAATGACCCGCCACTGTGTTGAACCAACTTTATTAAATTTTTATATTTTTGGGATCATTTGTGAAAAGGAGGCAGTGAGACTTTAAAGAAAGTATCACTGTCTCCTTCTCACAAATGATCCAAAAAATATAAAAATTAAATAAAGTTGGTTCAACACAGTGGCGGGTCATTTTGACCCTAGGACAACGGGAGGGTTAAAGACTCTCCATTCTCATCTTTCAACTGTTCACTAAAACGTTGTTATTGTTTCAACTACAGATTGCCCCTTTAAGTCTGAGCTGTACTGTATAAACAGTTTGTCAAGTTTTTCAACCAGTCTGGTAGAGTTTTTTATGTGAGATTCATTCATTCATTAATTGTCATAGTATCGGTTTCAATCGTTACAGCAGTCTCGATAGCAACAGCCACAGATGCAACAGCCACAAACGCGCCCCCTGTCCAGGCTGAATCCACTGAATCCAGCACCGTTGGTCACCAGGCGTCTGCCAAGAAAAAGCGTCGTCACGCTGAGGTCCCAGGCCCTCTCCCTGTTGCCGTGGTGATCATCTATAGGACCCTGGGACAGCTACTGCCTGAGAACTACGACATTGATCGCAGGAACCTGAGGTATTGTTTACCACTGGGAAAGCTGGGTTTGGTTTTTGCCTAGTTTTCCTTGTGATAGATGTTTTTATGCTACCTCACTATAGGCCAGGGATGTGGCTATAGGCCAGGCCAGTGCAACTTTGAAAGGGTGGGGGCCACAAAAGATCTGAACACATCATGAAGGGCCACAGTGTACCCACATCCATACCCCAAAAAATTTCACCTTCCGAATAAAACATTTTAGCGGCCCCCCTCTTGAGAGCGGAGAGAAAAAACATATTGTTTAATTTTCTGCAATTCTTAAAATGTTGCCATGGGGTGGAGAGAAGATTTAGCAACCTTTTTAAAACAAATTTCATGCATTTCTACAAATTTTGCTATGGGGCAGAGAGGAACTTTGCAGTTTTTAATATGATATCCGAGTGAGAGTGACTAACAAAGTCAATGGGGCCCTCCGGTCGGTAATTGGACCATGATTACTACAAATGTAGATAGCTGGCTAGACTAATGTATCAATCAAAAAAACAATCACCTGACATGGGCTAATTGAGTGACTGTCATTGACTAACATAGCAAGAGAAAAACTGCTGATACACAACCACATTTGTTTTTTTTGTGGGGGGGGGGGGGATTTATCCGCGGGCCTAGAAAAGGGGGGCCACCATCTGCCCTGCTATAGGCCCTTGTGGAAAGTCACTCTCGATATGAACATCTCTTGGATGACTAAAGTCAATGTAAACATAAATGTGTGTGTGTATGTGTGTGTGTGTGTGTGTGTTTAGACTCCCCAAAAGGCCCATCATCAACACACCTATTGTGAGCACGGTGGTCTACAGTGAGGGGGTGCCCTTGACCCCTCTTCTGGCACAGCCTATCACACTGGAATACACACTGCTGGAGACAGAGGAGAGGACCAAACCTGTCTGTGTCTACTGGAATCACTCCATCCTGTAAGGATGAGCATACCTATCAATTCTCTTACTCACATCGTAGATTTAGATGGAGTTTAACTCTATTATATTCAAGAACACAAATCATTTACAACAATATCTATTTTGGGTCCAGGGTTCAAGGAACGGGAGGCTGGTCTGCCAGGGGGTGTGAGCTGGTGTTCAGAAACAGCACCCACATCAGCTGTCAGTGCAGTCACATGTCCAGCTCTGCTGTGCTCATGGACATCTCCAAGAGAGAGGTACCACCCCGATCCCCCTACCAAACACTCAGTCATGGTGACTCAGCTTGTGTTAACTTCTATTATTTGATCTTACCCCTGGCCTTGTGTACCTCCTCAGCATGGAGAGGTCCTGCCCCTGAAGATCATCACCTACACCACGGTTTCGGCCTCGCTGGTGGCCCTCCTCATCACCTTCCTCCTGCTGGCCATCCTCCGGAAGCTCCGCTCTAACCTCCACAGCATCCACAAGAACCTGGTGGTGTCAATCTTCCTCTCCCAGCTTGTCTTCCTCTTTGGAATCAACCAGACTGAGAATGCGGTGAGGCCCTAGCACACAACCCTGAGGCACATCCGAAAAACACTTTATTTTGTCTTATTGCGTTATTATAGACTGTCTACTTGTCGATATACACTACATGACCAAAAGTATGCTCGTCAAACATCTCATTCCAAAATCATGGGCATTAATATGGAGTTGGTCCCCCCTTTGCTGCTATAACAGCCTCCACTCTTTTGGGAAGGCTTTCCACTAGATGTTGGAACATTGCTGCGGCCACAAGAGCATTAGTGCGGTTGGGCACTGATGTTGGGCGATTAGGCCTGGCTCGCAGTCAGCGTTCCAATTCATCCCAAAGGTGTTCGATGGGGTTGAGGTCAGGGCTCTGTGCAGGCCAGTCAAGTTCTTCCACACCGATCTCGACAAACCATTTCTGTATGGACCTCGCTTTGTGCATGGGTGCATTGTCATGCTGAAACAGGAAAGGGCCTTCCCCAAACTGTTGCCACAAAGTTGTAAGCACAGAATTGTCTACAATGTCATTGTATGCTGTAGCTGGAACTAAGAGGCCTAGCCCGAACCATGAAAAACAGCTCCAGACCATTATTCCTCCTCCACCAAACTTTACAGTTGGTAATATGCATTCGGGCAGGTAGCGTTCTCCTGGCATCTGACAAACCCAGATTCGTCCGTCGGACTGCCAGATGGTGAAGTGTGATTAGTCACTCCAGAGAACGTGTTTCCACTGCTCCAGAGTCCAATGGCAGCTAGCTTTACACCACTCCAGCCGACGATTGGCATTGTGCATGGTGATCTTAGGCTTGTGTGCGGCTGCTCGGCCATGGCAACCCATTTCATGAAGCTCCCGACAAACAGTTGTGCTGGTGTTGCTTCCAGAAGCAGTTTGAAACTCGGTAGTGAGTGTTGCAACCGAGTACAGATGTTTTTTTAAGCGTTACATGCTTCAGCACTCGGCGGTCCCATTCTGTGAGCTTGTGTGGCCTACCACTTCGCGGCTGAGCCGTTGTTGCTCCTAAACGTTTCCACTTCACAATAACAGCACTTACAGTTGACCGGGGCAGCTCTAACAGGGCCGAAATTTGACGAACTGACTTGTTAGAAAGGTGGCATCCTATGACGGTGCCATGTTGAAAGTCACTGAGCTCTTCAGTAAGGCCATTCTACTGCCAATACACCTGTCAGCAACGGATGTGGCTGAAATAGCCAAGTCCACTATTTTGAAGGGGTGTACACATACTTTTGTATATATAGTGTACCTGCAGGCTACTCTCATTAACCAAAATAGCCAATTAAATTGATTTGAAAACCGAAAAACAGTAGCTATTCTGTTAAGGAAAACATAAGTGTATGTAAATAATTAGCCTACATGTCAAAGTGTGTAGGTGATAGCTTATGCGAATTGGCTACATCCTGCCATGTCTAGACCAATGCTGACATGAGGAAGGCTAGTCCTCTCACCCCCCTTGAGGCTACTCCCCCTCCCCCCTAGGGCTAGTCCCCTCACCCCTCTTGAGGTTACTCAAGAGTACCTTTTACATTTTAGTCATTTAGCAGATGCTAAATGTCTGTTTGGCAATGTGTGGATTTGGCCTCAGCCATCGCATTGTGTTCTGTTGTTATAGATTAGCAGTTACTGAACCAGACTTATTTCACAGACAGCTTAAATAACAATTAGCACAGTTGGATTTCTTAACGGTGTGTTTAATCATCTTTGCCCTCTCTGTCCCTCAGTTCATGTGTACAGTGGTAGCCGTCCTGCTGCACTACTTCTACATGTGTACGTTTGCCTGGATGTTCGTGGAGGGCCTTCACATCTACCGCATGCTGACTGAAGTCAGGAACATCAACCATGGCCGCATGAGGTTTTACTACGCCATTGGCTGGGGCATTCCTGCCATTATCACCGGTGAGTGAGACACTCACACACACACACACACACACACACACAGCCAGATATGCATGTAAAGACAGAGAGGAACACAGATGCATTGAAACGACATAATCTGGAAGCACATGCTCACTGTGTGTGTGTTTTTCCTCTCTTGTAGGCCTGGCAGTAGGGTTGGACCCTGAGGGCTATGGGAACCCAGACTTCTGTTGGCTCTCTGTCCACGACACACTCATCTGGAGTATCGCTGGGCCCATCGCTATAGTAGTACTGGTGAGTGTGTGTGTAGATGCTGTTTATTTGTTGTACTATACTGGATACTGGATTGGTTCTGGCCAGTGGATTATGTTATTCATCTCCATCTCATCTAGGTCAACATTGCTTTATTCTTCCTGGCCGCCAAGGCCTCGTGCGGAAAGAGACAGTGGACATTAGAGAAGTCTGAAGCAATGTGAGTACTTAGAGACAGGATAACCATACAGGGTTAGAAAATAGTTGGCACGTAGCATACCATGTTGTCTGGATTCCATTCAAACATAACAAATATTTCCTCTCCAGCTGTTCCCTACATGTAGCCTTCCTCCTCCTGTTGCTCCTCAGTGCTACCTGGGTCCTGGGCCTCATGGCAGTCAACAGTGACATCCTCTCCTTACACTACCTCTTTGCCATTTTCAGCTGCCTTCAGGTACTTGGCTTTTTGTGTTGTCAAAAACAGTGCTTCAAAAAGCCTTACAGTGGTTCGATTTATCTGTGTCTCTGTCTCTGTGTCTCTGTCTCTGTGTCTCTCTCTCTCTCTCTCTCTCTCTCTCTCTCTCTCTCTCTCTCTCTCTCTCTCTCTCTCTCTCTCTCTCTCTCTCTCTCTCTCTCTCTCTCTCAGGGTATATGCATATTCTTCTTCCACTGTGTTTTCAACAAGGCGGTGAGGACCAACCTGAAGAATGTCCTCACAGGAAGGAAATCCATAGTGGAGGAGTATACTGCCACCCGCTCCACTCTCCTCACAGTGAGTACAGACCAGTCCATAGTTAAGTGTAGTAAACCTGTACATTTATGTTGAAAAATGAGTTATGAGTTGTATCGGGCGGCAGGCAGCCTAGCGGTTAAGAGCACTTGGCCAGTAATCGAAATGTTGCTTGTACGAATCCCCGAGCCGACTAGGTGAAAGATCTGTCGATGTGCCCTTGAGCAAGGCACTTAACCCTAATTACTCTTGTAAGTCACTCTGGGTAAGAGCGTCTGCTAAATGACAAATTGAATGTATTACTTCTTTGTGTCCCCAGCGTTCACTGAATGCTAAGCATTCGTACACAGAGGAGGACAGTCTGTACCGCACGGCCATCGGAGAGTCCACTGCCTCCCTGGACAGTACAGTCAGATCAGCCCGCAGCTTCAGCAGAAGCCAGGCCAGGTGACTTACTGGGTTGAAACTGGGTTCTACGTAGCTAGCAGATTGTGATGGGCTAATGTGATGCTCTATTAGCCGTTACAGGTTAGGTACTGTTTGGCATAGCACAGAGAATTTTCTACCAAACTTAACTTGCCGATACTTCCTCAATTCCCGACTTGGAAGACAACCAATGTCTTCTAAACATCCATGTCTAGTTGCAGGGGGTTCTTTTGAATTTAGAAAATGCTCCGTTGTTAAATAAATACAATTCTCCATGAAGTAATCCAACAATGTGTACGCTGCCATCTTGTCTATTTCAAATCTTCACTCATTGATCGAGACAGGTGATTGTCATCATGACATGCGTCACTTTGGGGTGGACCCACCTGTCTCAATCAATAAGAGATTTGAAATAGACAAGACACATTGTTGGATTACTTAAAGTGGATCTGACAGTGTTTTAACTACTTTGCAGATATGAAAGTTCCCAGTTTATGCTACAAAACCAACTTCATAAGAGGTTTTAAAAATAGGTTCTATTTGACAAAAAATTCCATGACATAGAGTAAGGCATTGTTGACAGAATAGATGGATGCAGTTAAAAACAGAATTAATATAATTCACCATTACATTTATTGGTAGTCTAAAAAATATTGCTATCAGGTTGTAAATCACAGCTGTCCTAGTACATATTTTGCTGCCTCCACCCATTCGGGATGCACGTTTTCAGTTTCAATGACTCAATACTTTGGGAAAAAAACTGACAAATTTAACTAAGGCTGGGAATGTCAATACAATCAAACTAGCGAGGGCAATGATCACAAGTCAGTCATAACGTGGCTAATAGGCTAGCGTATCTATTTATGTAGCTATGTTATTTATTTATTAAGCTCAAAACACGAAGCCTAACGTTAGATAGCTAGCTGCTGGGAGGATGACATACACAAAATAGTCAAAATTGGTGAAGTGAAATGAAAAACATTACTTGTTTAAAAAAATTCTAAAAAATAAATAACGGAAAAGTGGTGCGTGCATATGTATTCACCCCCTTTGCTATGAAGCCCCTAAATAAGATCTGGTGAAACCAATTACCTTCAGAAGTCACATAATTAGTTAAATATAGTCCACCTGTGTGCAATCTAGGTGCCACATGATCTCAGTATATATACACCTGTTCTGAAAGGCCCCAGAGTCTGCAACACCACTAAGCAAGGGGCACCACCAAGCAAGCAGCACCATGAAGACCAAGGAGCTCTCCAAACAGGTCAGGGACAAAGTTGTGGAGAAGTACAGATCAGGGTTGGGTTATAAAAAAATATCAGAAACTTTGAACATCCCACGAAGCACCATTAAATCCATTATTAAAAAATGGAAAGAACCATAACAAACCTTCCAAGAGAGGGCCGCTCACCAAAACTCACGGACCAGGCAAGGAGGACATTAATCAGAGGCAACAAAGATAACCCTGAAGGAGCTGCAAAGCTCCACAGCGGAGATTGGAGTATCTGTCCATAGGACCACTTTAAGCCGTACACGCCACAGAGCTGGGCTTTACGGAAGAGTGTCCAGAAAAAAAGCCATTGCTTAAAGAAAAAAAATCAAACATGTTTGGTGTGTGTTCGCCAAAAGGCATGTGGGAGACTCCCCAAACATATGGAAGAAGGTACTTTGGTCAGATGAAACTAAAATTGAACTTTTTGGCCATCAAGGAAAACGCTATGTCTGGCGCAAACCCAACACCTCTCATCACCCGAGAACACCAGCATTGTGGTGGCAACATCATGCTGTGGGGATGTTTTTCATCGGCAGGGACTGGGAAACTGGTCAGAATTGAAGGAATGATGGATGGCGCTAAATACAGGGACATTCTTGAGGCAAACCTGTTTCAGTCTTCCAGAGATTTGAGACTGGGACGGAGGTTCACCTTCCAGAAGGACAATGACCCTAAGCATACTGCTAAAGCAACACTCGAGTGGTTTAAGGGGAAACATTTAAATGTCTTGGAATGGCCTAGTCAAAGCCCAGACCTCAATCCAATTGAGAATCTGTGGTATGACTTAAAGATTGCTGTACACCAGCGGAACCCATCCAACTTGAAGGAGCTAGAGCAGTTTTGCCTTGAAGAATTGGCAAAAATCCCAGTGGCTAGATGTGCCAAGGTTATAGAGACATACCCCAAGGGACTTGCAGCTGTAATTGCTGCAAAAGGTGGCTCTACAAAGTATGGATTTGGGGGGGGGTGAATAGTTATGCACGCTCAAGTTTTCTTATTTCTTGTTTGTTTTTCAATAAAAAATCAATTTTAATTCCAGGTTGTAAGGCAACAAAATAGGAAAAATGCCAAGGGGGTGAATACTTTCGCAAGCCACTGTTTCGATAAGTTAAGATTTGTTGAAAATACTCTTTGTTACGCCAAAAAAGTACCTACCTAATAACACCCATCAGCCAGATGGAACAGAGTAATTTTCTGACTAGGCAATATACACTACTCAAAAAAATTAAGGGAACACTAAAATAACACATCCTAGATCTGAATGAATGAAATAATCTTATTAAATACTTTTTTCTTTACATAGTTGAATGTGCTGACAACAAAATCACACAAAAATTATCAATGGAAATCAAATTTATCAACCCATGGAGGTCTGGATTTGGAGTCACCCTCAAAATTAAAGTGGAAAACCACACTACAGGCTGATCCAACTTTGATGTAATGTCTTTAAAACAAGTCAAAATGAGGCTCAGTAGTGTGTGTGGCCTCCACGTGCCTGTATGACCTCCCTACAACGCCTGGGCATGCTCCTGATGAGGTGGCGGATGGTCTCCTGAGGGATCTCCTCCCAGACCTGGACTAAAGCATCCGCCAACTCCTGGACAGTCTGTGGTGCAACGTGGCGTTGGTGGATGGAGCGAGACATGATGTCCCAGATGTGCTCAATTGGATTCAGGTCTGGGGAACGGGCGGGCCAGTCCATAGCATCAATGCCTTCCTCTTGCAGGAACTGCTGACACACTCCAGCCACATGAGGTCTAGCATTGTCTTGCATTAGGAGGAACCCAGGGCCAACCGCACCAGCATATGGTCTCACAAGGGGTCTGAGGATCTCATCTCGGTACCTAATGGCAGTCAGGCTACCTCTGGCGAGCACATGGAGGGCTGTGCGGCCCCCCAAAGAAATGCCACCCCACACCTTGACTGACCCACCGCCAAACTGGTCATGCTGGAGGATGTTGCAGGCAGCAGAACGTTCTCCACGGCGTCTCCAGACTCTGTCACGTCTGTCACATGTGCTCAGTGTGAACCTGCTTTCATCTGTGAAGAGCACAGGGCGCCAGTGGCGAATTTGCCAATCTTGGTGTTCTCTGGCAAATGCCAAACGTCCTGCACGGTGTTGGGCTGTAAGCACAACCCCCACCTGTGGACGTCGGGCCCTCATACCACCCTCATGGAGTCTGTTTCTGACCGTTTGAGCAGACACATGCACATTTGTGGCCTGCTGGAGGTCATTTTGCAGGGCTCTGGCAGTGCTCCTCCTGCTCCTCCTTGCACAAAGGCGGAGGTAGCGGTTCTGCTGCTGGGTTGTTGCCCTCCTACGGCCTCCTCCACGTCTCCTGATGTACTGGCCTGTCTCCTGGTAGCGCCTCCATGCTCTGGACACTACGCTGACAGACACAGCAAACCTTCTTGCCACAGCTCGCATTGATGTGCCATGCTGGATGAGCTGCACTACCTGAGCCACTTGTGTGGGTTGTAGACTCCGTCTCATGCTACCACTAGAGTGAAAGCACCGCCAGCATTCAAAAGTAACCAAAACATCAGCCAGGAAGCATAGGAACTGAGAAGTGGTCTGTGGTCACCACCTGCAAAACCAGTCCTTTATTGGGGGTGTCTTGCTAATTGCCTATAATTTCCACCTGTTGTCTATTCCATTTGCACAAAAGCATGTGAAATGTATTGTCAATCAGTGTTGCTTCCTAAGTGGACAGTTTGATTTCACAGAAGTGTGATTGACTTGGATTACATTGTGTTGTTTAAGTGTTCCCTTTATTTGTTTGAGCAGTGTATTTAATAGCTAGGTTCTACTTAGGTTTGCAAAACTCCAGTAACCTTCCCAAAATTCCCAGATTTTCAAGAAATCCCAGTTGGTGTATTCTGGATTTCATTGCTGGAAAAACTGGGAATTTTAGGAAAGTTAATGGAGTATCGCGACCACATTTCTACTGGAACACAATTGTTATTCATACTCAAGTTTTTATTCCTGTACTCATCATGTCTCTTTCTTCCAACAGGAACGACTCAGGGCAGAAGCGCACAACATCCTCCGGCTCAACCAAAAATAGTTACCGTGGGGAGGGAGACTCCTGCATCTTCCTCCGCAAGCGCTCCAAGAGAGATGGTACGAGTCCTATATAGTTACATTGAGTGTCATGTGACAGGGAATCTTAATGCATCCGAATGTCTCAATACTTTACGTGCCATTGGCTGCTCAGGCCTATAGTGGTGAGGAGGAGGAGTCTACCATGTCCGCAAGTGACTTCACCATTCATTTTCGGGATTCAGGGTTCATTCAAACACAGTTTTAAGCTTTGTTTTACAATTTTACTATGATTTCGGGATTGTATATCGATTCGCTCTCCTTAAATATTAGTCGTCTGATGCAAGTATTAGTCGTCTGATGCATTAGTTTCAGTCTCTGAATTGTTTAATAAAACTTTTCGCAACCAGCTCTTGATATCAGGGCATAAAAACTACAATTTGTCTCCTGAATTAGCATAGCGTGCATGTGCGCCTAGCATACAGTGCCTTCAGAAAGTATTCACACCCCTTGACTTATTCCACATTTTGTTGTGTTACAGTCTGAATTCAAAATGGGTTAAATAAATAAAAAAATCTCACCCATATACTGTACACACAATACCCCATAATGACAGTGAAAACATATTTTTTGAAATGTTTGAAATGTTCTTGAAAATTAAAGACAGAAATATTAATTTACATAAGTATTCACACCCCTGAGTCAATATATGTTAGAATCACCTTTGGCAGCGATTACAGCTGTGAGTCTTTCTGGGTAAGTCTCTTATTTTTATTTTATTTAACCAGGTAAGCCAGTTGAGTTCTCATTTACAACTGCGACCTGGCCAAGATAAAGCAAAGCAGTGCGATAAAAACAACAACAACACAGAGTTACATATGGGATAAACAAAACGTACAGTCAATAACACAATAGAAAATCTATATACAGTGTGTGCAAATGTAGTAAGTTATGGAGGTAAGGCAATAAATAGGCCATCATTTAGTATTAACACTGGAATGATAGATGTGCAGAAGATGATGTGCAAATAGAGATACTGGGTTGCAAATGAGCAAAATAAATAACAATATGGGGATGAGGTGGGTGGGCTAATTACAGATGGGCTGTGTACAGGTGCAGTGATCGGTAAGCTGCTCTGACAACTGATGCTTAAAGTTAGTGAGGGAGATAAGAGTCTCCAGCTTCAGAGATTTTTGCAGTTCGTTCCAGTCATTGGAAGCAGAGAACTGGAAGGAATGGCGGCCAAAGGAGGTCTTGGCTTTGGGGATGACCAGTGAGATATACCTGCTGGAGCGCATACTACGGGTGGGTGTTGCTATGGTGACCAATAAGCTAAGATAAGGCGGGGATTTGCCTAGCAGTGATTTATAGATGACCTGGAGCCAGTGGGTTAGGCGACGAATATGTAGTGAGGGCCAGCCAACGAGAGCGCACAGGTCACAATGGTGGGTAATATATGGGGCTTTGGTGACAAAACGGATGGCACTGTGATAGACTACATCCAATTTGCTGAGTAGAGTGTTGGAGGCTATTTTGTAAATGACATTGCCGAAGTCAAGGATCGGTAGGATAGTCAGTTTTACGAAGGCATGTTTGGCAGCATGAGTGAAGGAGGCTTTGTTGCGAAATAGGAAGCCGATTCTAGATTTAACTTTGGATTGGAGATGCTTCATGTGAGTCTGGAAGGAGAGTTTACGGTCTAACCAGACACCTAGGTATTTGTGGTTGTTCACATATTCTAAGTCAGACCCGCCGAGAGTAGTGATTCTAGTCGGGCGGGCGGGTGCAAGCAGCATTCGATTGAAGAGTATGCATTTAGTTTTACGAGCGTTTAAGAGCAGTTGGAGGCTACGGAAGGAGTGCTGTAAGGCATTGAAGCTCGTTTGGAGGTTTATTAACACAGTGTCCAATGAAGGGCCAGATGTATACAAAATGGTGTCGTCTGCGTAGAGGTGGATTTGAGAGTCACCAGCAGCAAGAGCGACATCATTGATATACACAGAGAATAGCGTCGGCCCGAGAATTGAACCCTGTGGCACCCCCATAGAGACTGCCAGATGTCCAGACAACAGGCCCTCCGATTTGACACATTGAACACTATCTGAGAAGTAGTTGGTGAACAAGGCGAGGCAGTCATTTGAGAATCCAAGGCTATTTAGTCTGCCAATAAGAATGCGATGATTGACGGAGTCGAAAGCCTTGGCCAGGTCGATGAAGACGGCTGCACAGTACTGTCTTTTATCGATCGCGGTTATAATATCGTTTAGGACCTTGAGCGTGGCTGAGGTGCACCCATGATCAGCTCGGAAACCAGATTGCATAGCGGAGAAGGTACGGTGGGATTTGAAATGGTCAGTGATCTGTTTGTTAACTTGGCTTTCAAATACTTTCGTAAGGCAGGGCAGGATGGATACATGTATAGGATGGATACTCCAAACAGGTCAGGGACAAGTTTTTGGAGAAGTACAGATCAGGGTTGGGTTATAAAAAAATATCAGAAACTTTGAACATCCCACGGAGCACCATTAAATCCATTATAAAAAAATGGAAAGACTATGGCACCACAACAAACCTGCCAAGAGATGGCTGCCCACCAAAACTCACGGACCAGGCAAGGAGGGCATTAATCAGAGAGGCAACAAAGAGACCAAAGATAACCCTGAAGGAGCTGCAAAGCTCCACAGCGGAGATTGGAGTATCTGTCCATAGGACCACTTTAAGCCGTACACTCCACAGAGCTGGGCTTTACGGAAGAATGTCCAGAAAAAAAGCCATTGCTTAAAGAAAAAAATAAGCAAACACGTTTGGTGTTCGCCAAAAGCCATGTGGGAGACTCCCCAAACATATGGAAGAAGGTACTCTGGTTAGATGAGACTAAAATTGAGCTTTTTGGCCATCAAGAAAAACGCTATGTCTGGCGCAAACCCAACACCTCTCATCACCCCGAGAACACCATCCCCACAGTGAAGCATGGTGGTGGCAGCATCATGCTGTGGGGATGTTTTTCATCGACAGGGACTGGGAATCAGAATTGAAGGAATGATGGATGGCGCTAAATACAGGGAAATTCTTGAGGCAAACCTGTTTCAGTCTTCCAGAGATTTGAGACTGGGACGGAGGTTCACCTTCCAGCAGAACAATGACCCTAAGCATACTGCTAAACTCAAGTGGTTTAAGGGGAAACATTTAAATGTCTTGGAATGGCCTAGTCAAAGCCCAGACCTCAATCCAATTGAGAATCTGTGGTATGACTTAAAGATTGCTGTACACCAGCGGAACCCATCCAACTTGAAGGAGTTGGAGCAGTATTGCCTTGAAGAATGGGCAAAAATCCCAGTGGCTAGATGTGCCAAGCTTATGGAGACATACCCCAAGAGACTTGCAGCTGTAATTGCTGTAAAAGGAGGCTCTACAAAGTATTGACTTTGGGGGAGTGAATAGTTATGTACGCTCAAGTTTTCTGTTTTTTTTGTCTTATTTCTTGTTTGTTTCACTATATAAAATATTTTGCATCTTCAAAGTGGTAGGCATGTTGTGTAAATCAAATGATACAAACCCCCAAAAAATCAATTTTAATTCCATGTTGTAAGGCAACAAAATAGGAAAAATGCCAAGGGGGGTGAATACTTTCGCAAGCCACTGTAGTTCAGAGGTCAGAGAGTAAGTTATAGCTCCTGTGTTTCCATGATAACAGATTCAGACTCGGACAGTGAGCTCTCGGTGGATGAGCACAGCAGCTCCTATGCCTCGTCCCACTCCTCAGACAGTGATGATCATAGAGGAAGCCGCAAGCATAGGTGGAACAACGAGAGACCGCCCCAGCGAAACACACCCAAAGGTAACGGGACTCACGTTCAAACACACACACACACACACACACATTTTGCATTTGCACATAAAAAACACATACACACACACACAAACCTCATACAGTGGGGAAAAAAAATATTTAGTCAGCCACCAATTGTGCAAGTTCTCCCACTTAAAAAGATGAGAGAGGCCTGTAATTTTCATCATAGGTACACGTCAACTATGACAGACAAATTGAGAGAGAAAAAAATCAGATTCAGTCTTCCCAGCCTGGTGCAGGTCTACAATTTTGTTTCTGGTGTCCTTTGACAGCTCTTTGGTCTTGGCCATAGTGGAGTTTGGAGTGTGACTGTTTGAGGTTGTGGACAGGTGTCTTTTATACTGATAACAAGTTCAAACAGTTGCCATTAATACAGGTAACGAGTGGAGGACAGAGGAGCCTCTTAAAGAAGAAGTTACAGGTCTGTGAGAGCCAGAAATCTTGCTTGTTTGTAGGTGACCAAATACTTATTTTCCACCATAATTTGCAAATAAATTCATTAAAAATCCTACAATGTGATTTTCTGGATTTTTTTTCTCATTTGTCTGTCATAGTTGACGTGTACCTATGATGAAAATTACAGGCCTCTCTCATCTTTTTAAGTGGGAGAACTTGCACAATTGGTGGCTGACTAAATACTTTTCCCCCCCACTGTATATTGTGTTTTTTTTCCTACTGTATCTGAAGTGGAAACAGAGGCCAATCACGTGAAGCCCTACTGGCCAGTGGAGCCGCCGACAGCCAGTGAGAGCGAGGAGCCCTGCGGGGTAGAGACGCTGCGTGTGGAGACCAAGGTCAACGTGGAGCTCCACCAGGACAACAAAGTCAATAGGGAGTCCCCCTCTCAGAATGATAGTGCCCCTCCCAGCTCACCTGACTGCAACCAGACAGAGAAGAGAAGAGGTGAGAGAGAGAGAGAGAGAGAGAGAGAGAGAGAGAGAGACAGAGACAGAGACAGAGACAGAGACAGAGACAGAGACAGAGACAGAGACAGAGACAGAGACAGAGACAGAGACCGAGACCGAGACCGAGACCGAGACCGAGACCGAGACCGAGACCGAGACCGAGACCGAGACCGAGACCGAGACCGAGACCGAGACCGAGACAGAGACAGAGACAGAGACAGAGACAGAGACAGAGAGTTGTCACTAGCTTCCATATCCACAAATTGAATTGAATATATTTTGGGGTAACAGACATATACAACAAAATGTACAATGTGGACCCAGAGGATATCACTTGAAAGTATTAATTAAAACGCTTGTTTCCAAAGTGGTCCTTGATGGTAAAAACAATAACACATATAATGATTAAAAGGCAAGACAAAATGACAAACAACCATACATACATTCATTCATATTGACATCCTAAACAGTGGCACTATGCACTGAAACTTTTCCCTAACCTTAAAAATCCTACCATATTAATTTTACATTAAAACAATCTATTCATTGCACATCATACCGATCATTCAAATAAATACACCTGACCAGCAGTAGGGGGCACAAGGGGCAGTGGAGTGGTTTCTCTTACTTACACAACCTTGTCCAAATGAAAACCATTGCCTGCTTTTTAAAGCTATTTCTACTTTTTCTTTGCTTGATCTCCAAGGGGAGGCTATTCCATAGACAAATGCCTGTATAGAAAAAGGTGCTCCTCGCAGTACTGTTTACTCTTGGGATTTTACAAGACATAACACTAGCTCTGGTATTGTAACTGTGTTGGTTATAGACCATATCAATGTGGTTTTTCATATAACTTGGGGCACAATCATTTAAGATGTCAAACGTATGATTAAGTTGGTCCACTCTGGACTCCAAAGGCAACAAGCCCACCTCCCAGAACTCCTGTACCCCTATGTGGGTCCTAGGAGGGACATTCAGCATATAACTGATAACATTATGTTGCATGACCTGCATTCTCTTTTTCAGCTTTTGTGATAGCCCACTATACCAAGCAGAGCAGGCATAATCAAAATGACACTGAATCAAGGTTGAGACAAGCAGTTTCTTAACTTTGATGTTAAAATATCTAGTGTTACGATTGAAAAATCATAAACCCCGCCCATTTCTACAAATTATCTTCTTACATTATATTTGAAACCTAACCCTAACCACACTGCTTACCTTAAAATGAAGACCAGAAAGCACTTTTTTGTAGCAATGTTTACTTTGTAATCTGACCTTCGTGGCTATGGAGTGAAGCGAAGCGATATTGGAAAGAGCAGAGAGAGAGAGAGAGAGAGAGAGAGGATAGAGCGAGAGAGAGAGAGAGAGAGAGAGAAAGAGAGAGATAAGCGAGCGAGATAGCCTAGCGAGAGAGATAGAATATACAGCGCCTCTCCTCTCTCTCTCTCTCCTCCTCTGCCTCTCTCTCTCGCTCGCGCTCCTCTCTCTGGCTACCCTCTCTCGTTAGTTCACTACCTCGCTCAGGAATGTCTCAAATGAAATGTCTGATTGAATCAACATGTCAACATTCTAATCTAGTACCTTTTAGATATTGTGTGTCATTTTTTCCAAATAAGGTGCATGTGTCTGTGTGTTTATGTGTGTTTTCTTGTATGACTGACTGGGATTTGTTTCATTCACCCTCTGTTTGCAACCAGGCATTCTGAAAAACAAGATCACCTCCCCTCCTCCCCTGACTGACAAGAACATGAAGAATCGCCTGCGGGAGAAACTGAGTGACTACAACCCCTCCAGCATCTCCCCCAGGACTACCCCAGTCCCCCCATCTCCCGTCTCCCCCCATCTACGCCCTGTAACCGGGGGCAACGGGGTCTTCATCAAATCCCCACCTCGCCCGCTCGTGCCTCCACGCCCTCCGTTGTCTCCACGGGACCTGCGCAATGGGATTGTCATGACAACAACGAGGACGATGATGTCGCCATTAGTCAATGGGGTCAATGGGATTCAAGACGCCCAGGACTTGGACTCAGAGTGAGTGGTCACGAGATACTGGTGGCCATGTTGCATATCTAGCAGATATGTTGGATAATATGTCAGTCATTTTTGACTTTAGTAACTGTCTCTGTCTCTCTCAACAGCGGTAGCAACGAAACCTCAATCTGACCTGGAGAGAATTCCAGAACCAGCTCTCAAGGCAAGAGGGGCTACAGCGCTGATACCATGCGTGCGTTTCGAAGGTCACTATGACCCATTCCAGTAGGCCTCAGGACCCCTAAGCTCCTATGGAGACCAGTGTTAGCGCAGACAGCTGCCTGCTTGAGAGAAAAGGGGATTAAAGGAGAGAGCATGAGAACTACATCTCCCAGCATGCAGCAGCGGAAATGCACTTCACGGCACGGCTACCAAGTGGCGCTGTCTGTAGTTGTTCATTGCAGGTGGCAACTGACAGCAGGTTGGGATTGAGGAGTTTTCTAGGACCAGATGTGCCATGATGTGATGACCTCATGAATCAGTAAGACATTCACCAAGTGCCCAGCTGTGTTTGCCCACAGAGACAGAAACGTCCAAAAAACGAATCAATGCCTTTGGTCCGTGTAATTACCTTGTAGATATTTTGTATTTTTACTTTTTGGACTTGTTTATAGGAGAGGAAGAACTAAGCTGTACATTGTAAGTAGTGTAATGTATATCATATTTTTGGGACATCGTGTGTAGATATGACAGTCAACAAGGTCTTTTACAGATGTTTACGAATTTGGCACATTTTAAGAAAACAAAAATGCTGCCATCAGCAGCATGTAAAGTACTCCCAGTCTGAAAATACTCTACTGATAATATGATTTTGAAGTATTCAAACACTCGTATAGTAAGTCTAGTAAAACAAAAGCCATGTTAAAATAGTCATTCTAACATAGGGAGGCATGTTCATCTCCGTATTACAGTGAAGGTCTTGTCCATTCCAATTGTGTCCTGATGGTTGAATGACTTTGAACGAGGAAAACGCACTGAAATCTTAATACTTGCATTACAAGTTCCAGTAAATGGCAGAGCAATATATAAATCAATTGCTACTCTTGAATGGTTAGTAGAAAACGACGGTATGTGCCTTTTGATTGTTACCTTACCATGTTGTCTCATTGTAACCCTTCACACATTGTGCTTCTGGGTTTTTGTAGATTCTTATATCACTTTGCCATCCACATATAATCTCTGGAGGTCCTGTCGCCATGTGTTCAGCCAGTATCATGTCTGCATTCAGATTTTTAACTAATTAGAATAGTATGTAACAGTATTATTTCCAAGGAAAGCGTATTCATTTTAAGTATCAACAGTGTGCCTTTCTCCCTGCCTCCACAGGGCATAGTGTCTGAACCCAAGATAACCACTGTTACTAGTTTTAGTATACCGACCTCTCCTTTCTCATTCCCCTATTGAGCAGTAAACACCAGTGTACATGATTTAGTTATAATACTGTCATCCTTCAGATCTTCTTCTGCTATTTCATGTTTACAGAGAGGCCATATCTATTTAAAGCTGATATTGTGTCACAGACACTGGAATCATTATTGTAACATACATATATTTATTTTTTGTGAAAAGACACTGGAAATCAGACTTTAGGAACAGTAAAATAAACCACATTTGGATTTTTGCATTACTTTTTGAGAGTTTTATGTATTACTTGTGTCATTAAGAATTGGTAGGTATATGACATATTTGTATGTTTTCAGTATGGCCTGTCAAGGGGTTTGGATAAAGGGCAAACAAGAAATGTGCAAGCATTTGGGGTTTTTCAGACAGACGTTTTATTCAATGGCTTCTTGTATTTGCATCAGTAAAAGCTATATCTAGTAACAGGACTCGTTGATACGCCTCATGCTCATGAGCCTGCCCATAGAGCCCATCTGACTGAAGTTTCTGTACTCTCCAGGCCTCATGTACATCATCCTGCCTCTGTACTGGGGCTGCTCATACATGAGCCAGTGGCCGTCCATAACGTTGCAGGACATGCAGTTGTTCATGCGGTAACGATCCATGATGCTGTCACAGTCGTCCATCATCTCGTGCATCTGACCTCCGAAGTTCTCCCTCTCGTAGATCCTCATCCTGAAAGATCCTCTGTGCTGTAATATGATGAACAACATGTTTTAGTGAGAAATCGGGAACTGCAATGCTAAATGTATAATGTATGTATAGATTGTAGTCATACTGACTACTGGGCATGGGTGTATGTATCAACAACAACATAAATTACTAAGAGGCAACTAACAAGTCCTAAAAAAATGTGTTATGGAGTATCATAGACAGAGGCGACAAACTGAATGTCATTGGGTTTACCATGGGGATCATGCGGCAGGACCTGATGTCGGTCATTCCCATCATGCGCTGGTAGTCAGAATACTCTCCCCTCTTCATGAACCACTGGTTTCCCATGTAGTTGGGGCGGTCGTACACCATGAAGCAGCCGCTCTCAACCCTGCAGGATTGGCAGCGGCTCAGGTAGGAGGACATGTCAGCGCAGTCGCTGCTGCACTCATAGGAACGACCCTGGAAGTTCCTGTCCTCGTAGAAGGTGATCTGAAAATAAGCAGGAATCATTTCTATTCACCATTCAAACATACAAAAACACATTGCTACATGTTGGGCCTTGCCTAATCCCACTGGTAATCAGGTTTCTGGGATTAAGGTTGCCTTGTGCTCTGACACTAGAGTACTGAAGTGCCCTCAGTCTAACAAACTAGGAAAATTATATTAATAAACACACTAAATATAATACTTACTCTGCCGTTCATGTTCATGCCGGTGGAGGTCATTTCGTCTCTCTGTGCTTCTGCTGCTGCTCTTGCTGTGGAACTGTTATCCTACTTCTTTTTATACCTGTGAACCCCATTGTACTAACTCCTGACTCAGCAACATGGTATAGAGGGCCATAGAGCACTGAGGTCTGTTCACATGTCCAGGGACACGGGTCTCTCAAAAGACTTTAACAATGCTGTTTCTCTCAGAACAAAGTAACAATGAGCCTTTGTGAAAGGGTTAACAACAGTGATGAAGTGGAGGGTAAACGCCGTTTACCCACATTTTGCAGAAAAATGCATTTAAAGTATAGGGAGTGTTACTTCTCTAATCCTGAACAGCAAATCAGTGTTCAGCCACCAATTCTTTTTTACCACTACATCGCTGGTTAAAGGGATATTTCACCCAAATAAAAAAATAACACATTGGTTCCCTTACCCTGTAAGCAGTCTATGGACAAGGTATGACAGCAATCCATGCTTTGGTTTAGTTTCCCTGGTACTGTTTCCACATGCTAACGTTTTAGCATTTGTGGCACAAATCCCATTCAAGACATGGGACCGATATTATAATCTTTACGCATCATGTCCAAATCATCCGAAAGTGTCTAAACATGTGAATCTCAACAAAGTCACTCACGCTTTGAACATGATGGGCAAACATTTCTAATATCGGTCCCATGTCTTGAATGGGATTTGTGATTTTGTGCCACAAATGCAATTCAACACAATTGGTAACTAACTATCTGGTTACCAGTGGTACAAATTGGTGCTTGTTTCAATTAATCTAAAATTAAGTATTTTATCCCAGTTAGTGTAGCCTAATTTAACAAAGGCTTGGGCCGTAGTCTCAATCAACACTATGGACATGTTGGCCAAATAGTAAAACAGAGAAGCTCACATCAGACATTTGTAGAGAGAAAAGTGTAACATTTTTAATCACAGTATTGACCGATGGAAGGATACAAAAATCTTCACCTTTTCGTCCTTTGCATTGTACCAGCAAGCATCACATAGTATCTCACACAGCATCGTAACAAAATTCCTAAAACTTCCTAAAACTCTGAGGAAGACTATTTGCGGAGTCTGCTTTGCTTATGAGCTCTACTAAGTAATATTGTCAATAGAAATAAGTGCTTTGAAGAACTTGAGAAATGTGCATTGTGATACAAAGACAGTAAAACTATATCAGCATAGTGGCTTTACATTTAATCAATCAAAGCTGGTCTGTAAATCTATGACCTATGTCCAGGAACACCCCTTATATACATTGTCCTTAGGCCTTTATATACACTTGTGTAGGTTTAGCATATCAGATAGCTAGGCAGAACCACTTTAAACAATCAGATTCTTTAGGGAGTGGAGGTTGTTTTTGGATGGGGCCCATGCGTACAGTATATATATAACCACATAGTTCCAAAAAGGGGAAATCGCCTCATGGGAAACTACCATTACAGGGACTGCAAACGTTTTCCTGCTTCTATGATAGAAGCATCACAGATAGACAGTATGCACAGCATTACATGAACCACTTTCTATAGAACATGAATTAGGAAAACAACAAACAGTAGGGAGTCAGTTCATAATGTGTAACCTCCGAGTCTTTGAAGCTGAGAGATGAGTTTACAGACTTAAGTGTGAATGGGGATTTGCTATTGCACAAAGTGGGTTTCAACAGCGGAGGAGGACCACAGGCTCACACAGCAGTTTCGCAATCATTTCTCATGAACATCTTAAGAATATTTACACCAACCATAATAAAACATCTATAGGAGAATTTAAAAAGTTACAGTGTAAAAACCTAAATGCATCCGGTGCATTATGCAGAACAGGGTATAGGAAGCACAAAAGTTCTCACAAAACTCCTAATTTTAAACTTGTTTAGATATCAACATTATGTGGAGTGAAAGGTTAACATTTGACTTTGAACATCTAATATTAAATAATATATTCATAGGCCTATTGCCAGGAGTAGTTCTCGTTTCTTCTAAAACGGTGCATTGTGCTTGTCCTGTCACATAAAAAGGAATGTATTGTAATGTTTTAAAAATTGTATAACTGCCTTCATTTTGCCGGACCCCAGGAAGAGTGCCAAGGCAGCAGCTAATGGGGATCCATAATAAATACAAATAGAAATACGAGCGTAATTACACCACTTATTGGAGACTTGAGAGGGCACAGAAGAGAGGATAGGTTGTTTCGTATTACATTTTTTAGGACAGTTGTTATGTTGCGTGCTGATCCTATACCTAAAGATGGAGATACATTTCACCATAACATTGGTCTCATTTAACAATAAACTACATCTGCATTACATTTGTATATTCATTTATACAAACCTTTGACTTCATTTACAAAGGTATGGCACTTATCATTCCGTTTAACCACACATCATTTCTTAAAACATTGGCGTTACAATCATAAAAAGAGAGTATGCAGATATTCGGAAGTAGCAGCAATATACAAATATGGAAATATAAGAATTACATCTCTAAAATATTATTTTATGTACATTCCATTATTGGTCTTTGGATGGAATTAGTGCATCCGTTCCTCTCAACAAACCGTTATCTTCCATGTTATTTTCCAACTTCCATAAAATGTGACCAAATAAATACTAGAAAAACTGATCGATTTAAAAAAAGACCACAGTGTAAGGCAACATGATCAGTGAGAGTGAAAAATACTTTCCCTTTTCTAAACTCTTCTCTACAGGCCTGTCTGACTGAGACTGGAGGAGGGGAGAGACGGAGCACTGGACATGAGGCCTATGCGTTGTGGTAACCATTCTTAGGTGTATCTTTCCTGGGTTCTACGTTCTCGTAGATGGTGAGTGCAGCCGTGTTCTGGTAGATTAAGTCCACGTTGGTTCCAGTTCTGGATCGGATTATGTCCATGGCACACTGGTTTAGGAACAAATACTGGTCCTGTAAGACAATAACACAATATAGTTCAATATGATGAAGCAAACTGACCATTCAGATGTCAAAACATTTCACCTAGTGACCACATAAGCCTCCATTAGCATAACTTCCACTTTTAACCACAGTGATGGATTGTACAGTAAGCCTGTAATAAACCCCCAAACATGCTGAAAATAGACCAGTGACCTCGGTCTGAACCATGAGGGGCCGGTGCATGCGCAGGTCATGGATGGTGCCGTACACGTCCACCGTACTGTCCCTCTCTATCTGGAAGATCAGCCGGTCGATGGCTATGAAGGTACCTGTACGACCCACACCCGCACTGAGGGGAGAGAGACAGAAAGAGAAAGAGGGAGAGAAAGAGACAGATGAGAAAGAAACAATGTTAATTTACTGTTTAACGCTTCTTGAAGTTAACTGAGAGAAACAGTGTGTGTGTACCTGCAGTGGACAACAGTGGGGGAGTGGCGTGAGTACTGGTCCATGTGTTCTCGGACCAGGTGTCTGAAGTTGATGAGCAGCTCCGTGGTCTCGGGGACGCCGTGGTCCGGCCAGGCTGTGAAGTGGAAGTGACGCACCGAGCGTGTCTCCGCCGTCCTCACCTGTCAGCCAATCAGAAACACAGAGACACTCCCTGATTACCACTAATACATGTGTAACATGTAATGCCCCCTTCCAGGATCCGATTCAACAAAAAAAATCTGTACAAATTCCTATTCAAAATGCTAGCTATAACCCAGTGAGCACAAGACTTAAAACATACGTATTATGAATGTGTTTTCAACCAAAAATACATATTTTTTTCGTCTTTTGTTTATAGGGAAGGGATCGTTTTTCCCAGAGCCATGTTTTACCCACTAAGCAGCTGAAGAGGAAAACATCAGTAATATTTGTTTCACTCATTATCACAGGAACTTACGTTTTTTACGTCAAAATCCCTGATGGTCCAGTCTTCTAGGGGGATCTCAGAAGTTGTTGTCACGGTGATATTCTGAAAGTGCTTGGTCTCAGATGGCCAGTATTCCTCACATTTCACCTGAGAGGAGAGAGGTGGGTGTGTGAGCGATAGGTGTGTGTGTGTGTGGGGTAGCTTAGTGCAGTCCTTCTCAAACTTCTCTTCTGGGAACTCCAGACATTTCACAATACTACACCTGATTCAAGTAGTCAAAGGCTTGTGGATAAGTTGACAAGTGGAATCAGGTGGGATAACTCTAGAGTAGTTCAAATACATGGAATGTATTTGAACTACAGTTCCAGAGGAGAGGTTAGAGAAAGGCCGGTTTAGTGTGAGAACATTAGCTATACAGCACACTACCACTTCCATACCCCATCCCTAGGTGGCAGCAGCAACTTGGTCAGGTGCTGTGCTCTGCCAGGAACTCTTGATAAGTGATGATTCACAGGTGTGTGGCTTTGGCAATCAGTGCGAGAGAGAGGTGGACAGGTTAGCCTCTCATCCTGGAGGCACGTCAGTGTTTGTTTAGGTATGCCTTTTTGGTTTTCTGTTTCTGTAAATATGATCATTTTGGTTTTCTGTTTCTGTAAATATGATCATTTGGGGTTTTCTGTTTCTTTTGAACAACAACCTGCTTGGGCTGGCCGACAGAAGAGTCGAGACCGAGCTGGCCCTGAATCTGGTAAGTGTGCTGTCTTGTGTGTGTGTGTGTGTGTGTGTGTGTGTGTGTGTGTGTGTGTGTGTGTGTGTGTGTGCACTCACTCGTCCCTGTTCGTTACAGCGTGTCAGCATGACCAAAGTCTGGACGTTCTTTTCCCAGATCATCCTCCAGAACTCGTTGACGGTGACGGGCAAAGGACCTTGGGCCGCAATAAACTCCTTCCTGGAGTTGTAACCCTGGCAACGGAGACATATTGACCCAGTACGTAAGCATCTACTACAATCACCATGCAACTTTCCTAAACCTTTCCATACTTCTCTGTATCTTCTGGTTAATGTGAGATGGATGTGATGTAACTCACTCAATACTTCTAACTGTAGCTATAACCTGAAAATTAAGACCTATATCTGAGTCTTAATTGAAGTTATCTTTTAAAAAAATGTAAAAAAATGTAATATAAGTTATCTAGCTATATCGATCATGTTTGTGAAATAACCCCAGAGCAGAGCTGAAGCACAGAGTGTCAGAGAAAGCTGATTATGATGAAGATGTTAGGTCAGTATTTACCGGGATGTAGTTAGAATTGATGTAGTCGTCGAATGGACTCCCATGGATGGACAGTTTCACTCTAGAGGAATCATCTAGGATGTGGGAAAGATGAGGAATGAGGATAGATAGAACTGAAAGAGAATTCCTGTCACTCTGCCCAGAGACAGAGCATCATTCTACAAACCACTCTAGTGTAAATGCTGTCCTCCAGTAATTGTGTGTCCATATTGTATAGTCAAACTCTGAGCTATTGAATAAACAAAGGAGTTAGTCTGTTCGACAATGAGGATGGAGGATTGGATATGATAAGCAATGGTAGCTGTGCCTAGCAGTGGCAGGAGGACAGGGGTCATTGTCATGGAGACAGGGGTCAGGGGTCATGGTAGACTCACAGGGAAGCACGTTGTTGTAGCGGTTCTTAGACTTGTTCTCCATGGCCATAGCGCTGGTTTTAGCTTGGGCTGTTCCCACTGGCTTCAGGTCCTAGAAGGAGAAGGAGACATTAGGCCACCAGGAACCAGTAGCGAACAAGGAAACACAGGCATATTTACCAAATGCAGAACCTCAACTGCTGCCCGATGGAATATCCATATCATGTGTATGAATAAATAAATAGCTTTACGTTTTACCTCAAACTCCTCGGCAAAGCCACAGTTGGAGTCTGCTCTCTGCCTCTTGTAATACGCCTCATAGTCCTCCACCCTCACGGCCACGCTTCTGCTCATAGAGACACAGGAGACAAGCATTAACACAAACACATGCGTGACACCAACACTGCATCATTCAATGTGTCAAGTCTACTGTTACCATAAGAGTTAATACTCACACTTTAGCTCTGAAAAAAAATTGAGAAATAAAAAGAGCCATGTTAGCAGTTAAAGAAAAACTTAAGTAATTTTAAGACAAATATTCACTTATTCTTTTGCTCTTACAGAATTACAGATTCATTAACTTTCAAACTGAGACAGAAACAAGCGAAAGATCAGAAGAAATCACCTCATGGAGTGAATCTGGATTTCTGAAGTGTCTTTCTTGGTTTGTCTGTAAAAACAAAAGCACACAAAAATCATACGACCATCCAAAAAACATCTAAATTATCGAGTGATGATGATGATGATGATCGCTCACTTCCTCCAGTGGATGATTAAGCCAACGGTGATGATGAAGAGGATGGCAAAAACTCCAAGCGTTACCCCGACAGCCATACCGATGGCCACTACATGAGAACGACCAGAGAAGAAAGAAAAGAGAAAGAGTTAAGAGGACGTGACATTCATAATGCCTCTTAGGACCCCATAGCGTATTATAACACTTGCTATAAGCATTCATAACAGCTCATTGTGCCTTACGAGTGCCTATATGAATACATGGCTATGAATCCTTTTATAAATGTATTACATACAGGTGGTTTGTACAGTAAAAGTGCAGTAGCTACCTGGGTCCTGAGTGAGTACCACAGGACTTGGGTTGAACACAGTTATCGAGACGAGTGAGGAAGTGACGTTCAGAAGCCCGTTCGAATTTACCACTGTTTCAGTAAATAAAACAATGGCATAACTGTGAAGACAAAAAAATTATACATTTTAGTTCACGGTTTACATCAGTAGTTGATTATTATCAGCTGAATTTGAGGTCTATCCCTACCACCTATCCCACATACTACCTGTGTGGTGTTCTTACCTGTATAAGCGATTGGCCTTCAGTTGGCCATTGGTATATTTTTTCCATGAGGTTTTGTCCCCTATGACAATGTCAATGTTTCCTGCACGTTTCCTCCTCCGGCTGTTGCTAGGGTTGTTGCTAGGATTCTCTTTGACCGTGGCTAAGTATGCCGTAGTAGAGCTTTCGTCCCACTCCTGATAGGTCTTCACTAAGTACTGCATTGAGTTAGAATTATTTACATCTGCAAGAAAACCACCACACACAAGAGAATTGTAAGGATCATTTATTAAAACGATTGGTCAAATGCTTCTTTGGAGATACATCACATTGAATATGTTGAATCAGAATTATCTCAGTTAAATGAATCCAAGTGTACATGCACATGTCTTTTGGATACCCAAAACAAAAATCTATCATAAACAAATCTTAGCCAATAAGAGTGAAAAGGGACCCACTGGTGATGTCAGAGGTCACCAGCACGCCGTAGTTTTTGATTGGTCCGTTGGTGTCATTCAGGAGTCTGGGGTCCAGCTGTATAGAGAAGGAGTTGTGATCTTTCACAGTGGCACTAGAGAATAGCGACGAGTTAGCTGGGATAGGAGGGACTGGAGAAACGGAAGAGAGGAGAGGAGAAAGAAATGGGACATAAATACAGTCCTTGTGTTTACGTGCTGACATTACTTCAATATATGGGCAACACATATTGTATAGGTAAAGAAAATACATGTAGAACACATAACGGTTTTAATATCTGTCAATGTCAAAGTGTGAAAACATGCATTTTCAAATTGTGAGGGTAATTAAGTTATTATATTCTATCCTATTCCATCAAATTTGAGCCCACATTGCAATTGTTTCTATCACGTACCTGTAATGCCAGTCTTGCAGGTGAGGGTTTGGACAGTGCTGGAATTCCCACAGCCCAGAGTGGTTACAGTCAGGGTGTAGTTTGTATAGTGCTTTAGGTCAGAGACTACGTGGCCACAGGCTGGGTTACAGTCACCACTAGTGGTATTGTGTACCTAAACCAATCAATCAATCATTAATTAAATAAATAATTCATTCATTTAATCAATCAATCAATCAATCAGCCAATTATAAATGTATTCAATCAATATTTGTTTTTATTTTGTGACCAATATCTACTGTACTGATTGAGAAATGCATTGTGTAGCAATGAATTCACAACTCACCTGGTCCTTGGAGAGTTGGTTGGTTTCATAAGCAGTGATCTGGAAGCCCTGGTTCAGTCCTTTGGGTTTGGTCCAGGACAGAGTCACCTTGGCATTGGGGGCGTTAGGAGAGTCACACATCAGCTTGGACACAGGGCTGGCATCTATGGCACAGTGAAGGAGACACAGAGGTTTTCAGTTTTGATTTTATTACTAGGAAATGTGTAGACCATGTCTGAATTTCATTACAATTACAAGAGCTCAAAACACAGTTCAAAAATAAAATACATCTGGCCTCCCGAGTGCCGCAGCAGTTTAAGGCACTGCATCGCAGTGCTAGAGGCGTCACTACAGATCCGGGTTCGATCCCGGGCTGTGTTGCAGCCGGCCGCGACCGGGGGACCCATGAGCACAATTGGCCCAGCGTCGTCCGGGTTAGGGGAGGGTTTGGCTGGCCGGGATGTCCTTGCCCCATCGCGCTCTAGCGACTCCTTGTGGCGGCCGGGCGCATGCACGCTGGCTTCAGGTCGTCAGCTGTACGGTGTTTCCTCCGACACATTGGTGCGGCTGGCTTCCGGGTTAAGACATTGGTGTGGCTGGCTTCCGGGTTAAGACATTGGTGCAGCTGGCTTCCGGGTTAAGACATTGGTGTGGCTGGCTTCCGGGTTAAGACATTGGTGTGGCTGGCTTCCGGGTTAAGCCATTGGTGCGGCTGGCTTCCAGGTTAAGGGAGCAGTGTGTCAAGAAGCAGTGCGGCTGGGCGGGGTCGTGTTTCGGAGGACGCATGGCTCTCGATCTTTGCCTCTCCCGAGTCAGTACGGGAGTTGCAGCGATGGGACAAGACTGTAACTACCAATTGGATATCACGAAATTGGGGAGAAAAAGGGGTAAAAAGTACCCCCAAAAATATTATACATCTATAATAGGATCCATATCTGGATCAGTGTCTGCAGGTGATAGTAATGATAGTATGTCCTTTATAAATCTGGATCAGTGTCTCCAGGTGATAGTAATGATAGCATGTCCTTTATAAATCTGGATCAGTGTCTGCAGGTGATAGTAATGATAGCATGTCCTTTATAAATCTGGATCAGTGTCTCCAGGTGATAGTAATGATAGTATGTCCTTTATAAATCTGGATCAGTGTCTCCAGGTGATAGTAATGATAGCATGGCCTTTATAAATCTGGATCAGTGTCTCCAGGTGATAGTAATGATAGCATGTCCTTTATAAATCTGGATCAGTGTCTGCAGGTGATAGTAATGATAGCATGTCCTTTATAAATCTGGATCAGTGTCTGCAGGTGATAGTAATGATAGCATTGCCTTTATAAATCTGGATCAGTGTCTGCAGGTGATAGTAATGATAGCATGTCCTTTATAAATCTGGATCAGTGTCTCCAGGTGATAGTAATGATAGCATGTCCTTTATAAATCTGGATCAGTGTCTCCAGGTGATAGTAATGATAGTATGTCCTTTATAAATCTGGATCAGTGTCTCCAGGTGATAGTAATGATAGCATGTCCTTTATAAATCTGGATCAGTGTCTGCAGGTGATAGTAATGATAGCATGTCCTTTATAAATCTGGATCAGTGTCTCCAGGTGATAGTAATGATAGTATGTCCTTTATAAATCTGGATCAGTGTCTCCAGGTGATAGTAATGATAGCATGGCCTTTATAAATCTGGATCAGTGTCTCCAGGTGATAGTAATGATAGCATGTCCTTTATAAATCTGGATCAGTGTCTGCAGGTGATAGTAATGATAGCATGGCCTTTATAAATCTGGATCAGTGTCTGCAGGTGATAGTAATGATAGCATTGCCTTTATAAATCTGGATCAGTGTCTGCAGGTGATAGTAATGATAGCATGTCCTTTATAAATCTGGATCAGTGTCTCCAGGTGATAGTAATGATAGCATGGCCTTTATGCATAAATCCATATATGCATTCTTAATGCACAACACACTGGTGGTACAGTATGGTAGGTTCTTAATGCACAACACACTGGTGGTACAGTATGGTAGGTTCTTAATGCACAACACACTGGTGGTACAGTATGGTAGGAAAACATGTGAAAACACATTATAATAATAATAATAATATGTAACATTATGATCTTACTGGTGCAGCTGGAGGTTGAGACTGGAGCTCCCTCTGTTCCGTCAGCTGTCTCTGTTGTCACGGTGAAGTTATACAGACTACCAGGGACCAATTGTTCAATGATTATGTTTTCCTTAGCTGTTGTTGTATTGATTAACCCAGAGTTGGTCCTGGTCACATTGTAGCGGTAGCCTGGTTTGTGACCCACAGGCTTGACCCAGTTCAATGTTATGTTCTCTTCTGCTGTCACTACACTGAGGGACTGGACACTCTCTGGTCCTGGGAAATGAGATGTAATGGAGTATAGAAAGGTTAGTGTAACAATAGTTATGAATACAGAATACAAAACGTCTCAGGGCTGTGTTTGTAAGTGGGTGTGTGTGAGTGTATGTGTTCAGAAATTAGTTTTTGTGTGTGTGCATGCTTGCATGTCATGTATGTAGTGTGTGTGTATGTAGTGTGTGTGTGTGTGTGTGTGTGTGTGTGTGTGTGTGTGTGTGTGTGTGTGTGTGTGTGTGTGTGTGTGTGTGTGTGTGTGTGTGCGTGCGTGAGCGTGTGCGTGCGTGTGTGTGTGCGTGTGCTCGCATGTCATGTATGTAGTATATGTGTGTGTTGACACTCACTGGTCGTGACCAAACTGCTCCAGACCTTCTCACTCTGGAGCCATAGCACTCCCAATGTAGCCACAGAGATATTGTAGGGTGTTCCAGAGGACAGGCTGGGCAGTGTGTAATTGGTGGTTTGGATTATGCTCATGTTGTTGTTTAGTTGCGTTGACAGGTAGGTCACTAGGTAACTGAAGTTGGTGTTTGCCATCAGAGGAGCTTCACCCCACATCACAGAGATAGAACTAGTCGTCTTCTCCAAGATCAGGATGGGCCCAGGCATGTTGGGATCTGAGTGAGATTTGGACAGAAATGTATGTTTATAGAAGTAGCCGATAACATCTGTGAATTGAATTTCCTTGCACAAATAACCTTGAAAGTTATCTCTGGTTAAGTGAAAAAATATATCTATATATCTTAGTCTTAGACTAAACAGTCAAAACAAATGAATGAACTCTAACAGATAAAAGAGGCATGCTCAATGGAAATGGGCCTTTTCCTCCGTTGCTTCCCTCATACTCACAAGTTGCTGTAGTATTAGGTTCTGATGTAGCATTGAAGGGCCCACTGATAGTGGTGACCACGGCTGTGTACTCTCTGCCAGCTGGCAGATTAGGGAAGGATGTTGACCGAATGCTGGAGTTCAGCAAATCTGAGAAAATGACCTTGTTCAGACAGACTTTATAATTCTCTACGTTCCCTTTGGGCGCTTCCCAGCGCACCACTATGGTACTGTTGCTACCAAGGTTGGAGATGGACGTCTTGACAGACTCAGGCTCTGGTAGAGAGGGAGAGAGGAACAGAGATGGGGGTGATGTTAGAAAGAAGAGAAAGGCGGGAGAGAGGGGGAAGATGTAAAAGGGATAGAAACTATTTTTGAGAGTTTTTAGAAAAACACCAAATAACTAAAAAGGTAAAAAGGAAGGAGGTCTCACTTGTGTACTGATAGGTTAAGACAATGTCTCCCTCTATGCCGTCCAGTGCCTTGACGGAAACACTGAAGGTGCATTTGGTTCCTGGTGTGAGTTCTGAGATGAGGTCCCCCTCTCCTGTTGTCGTGCGGTTTGTGGGAGCAGACACGCAAACCTCGGTCTGGATACGGTATCTGTAACCACTCTGGTACACAGGTGGTTTGGTCCAGGTCAGATTCACAGTGGTTGTGTTCACTGTAGAGGCCACCAAACCACTAACGGTGAATGGTCCTGGAAACAGAGGATCTAAGGTTAGACTTCAGTATACAAAGAAGTGAATACTGTTCAACATATGCTGTACTCTTATTAATACCAATTTAGAAAGATAAAATAACTCTTAAAATTAAACAGAGATTAGTTTTATTGCCATGGGAACATACTTGTAAAATAGGACACCGTCACCGGGGTTGCCATGGTTCCGTCCCCTGTGAGTGTTGTCACGGTAAAGCTGTAGTTGCTCCCAGACTGTAACCCGGTGATGGTTTTCATGGTGGTGTTGGCGGTGACGGACCAAGAAAAGGACCCGTTGGTGACATCCACCCGGAAGGAGTAGCCTGGTTTGCTCTCTGGCTGAACCCAGACTAGAGTCACATTGGTGGGGGTGATTCCTGCAGTCACATTGATCACATACTGGGGCCCTGGGACAAAGGAACAACAAAGATATTTAACGAACATGTTCAATCTGTGTGTGTGTACATATGAGTGTGTGTGTAACGGACGTCACGCTGCTTGCTTAGCGAGTACAGCTTCCTCCTGATTCGGCTCACACGAGGCTCAAACCAAGGACCTCCTTGCTAGCACATGTGCTGTGTAGATACTGTGTAAATGTGTGTGTTCAGTAGTCACTCACTGGTAGAGATGGCCGTCGTCACCACTGTGCTCTGGTAGCCCCACGGCCCTACGGTTACCACGGAGATGTTGTAGAGCGTTCCAGACTGGAGGTTCTCCAGGAGGATCCAGTTGTTTTCCGTCAGGGTCTGCTGGTCCAGATGGAACACAGAGAAGTTGTACTGACCTCGGTCCATGTCCAGGGGCCGGGCCCAGCTGATGTTGATGGAACCAGTGGTCTGGTCCACCACTATGATGGCTCCAGGAGGGTTGGGATCTGGGGGAACAAACCAGGGAGCAGTCAATTATGAAGGAGATTGCCGATGGAGTGACTCAGGCATGGGATGACATCAGACAACATTCGATCTAGATTATCATCTATCTCTGGCATTGTGCTCTATATGCTAGTCAGAAGAATATAGAATTAACTCATGTGGGCTAATGAAGACTTGAAAACCCAGACCAAATCTGAATTTACACAAATTGGTCCATGCTAAACAAATGGAGTACAGTTGGAATGTTGGACTTTTATAAAAACATTGACTGACTTACACGTTGCAATTGTAACATTCAGTGACTCAGTGAGCGGTCCACTATTGGTGGCCACATTGACAACATAGACTTTCCCTGGCTTCAGGTTCTGGAACACAACTACTAGAAGGTTGTTGGTGATGGTGTAGTTCTTTTCCATCACATTGTTTTTGTAGATAGTGACAGTGTAGTTGTCCACCTGTCCCACAGGTTTATCCCAGGTCACACTCATGTTGGTTGTTTTTCCTATGGCGTTGATGTTTGTCACCACCCCAGGTTCTGAAGAGTGGATAGAAGGGGAAAAAAACGTTAACATTTCACATTTTAGACTAGAGATACAGAGATCTTAAAAGTGTTGTGGTAAATGTGTTAATTATGTACATTTGTCTTTAACTTGGCTTAGATATGAAATACGCACTGTCAGACATCTCGGATGAAATCCACTTTGCTATGTAAAGAAGGTAAAAGTGAGAAGGGGAGAAGGGATGTAGGGTTGAAGGGATGAAGGGTTGAAGGGCTGATGAGTTGAAGGTGTGAAGGTTTGAAGGGTTGAAGGGGTGTAGGGTTGAAGGGATGAAGGGTTTAAGGGATGAAGGGTTTAAGGGTTGAAGGGGTAAAGGCTTGAAGGGGAGAAGGGGTCAAGGGATGAATGGATGAAGGATTGAGGGGTTGACGGGTTGAACGGGTGAAGGGATGAAGGGTTGAAGGGGTGATGGGATGAAGGGATGAAATAAGATCTTTAGAACCATACTTGTGTAGCTTGACTTCTCCATTGGATCAGACTTAACCCCCTGGACGACCGTGACCACAGAGATGTTGTAACTGTACCCAGGACAGAGATTGATGAATGTGTACGCCTCGACCATGGTTGAGATGTTCTCAACCACAGAACCATTCTTGGAGATGGTCACCAGATAGGAGTAGGTTGGTTTGTAGTCATCCGGTTTGGACCAGGAAAGTCTGATAGCAGTTGTGTTCAGACCCTCGCCCGTGAGGTTACTGACCGCCTTGGGCTCTGAAGGGCAAATATAGTATTATTATCATCTGTAACACAGGATAATTTGTCAGACACCTCCTGACTACCCCAGAGTAACTGTAGTTTGCTGGCTGCACTTGCATTGCTCTTGGATTCCTCTATGAATACCTTTGGAATTTTAGAACACTGGCTTACTCGTGTAACAGAACGTGCGTTCCGGAGTTCCCTCGCTTCCCAGTGCTGCTACCGAGGTAACAGTGCAGTTGTAGCCAGTCCCAGATTCTAGGCCCTCGATGACTGTGTAGTTGGTACTGACTCTTTTCTCTACAGGGTCTGTAGCGTTTCTGTACTGGACTCTGTAGGTGTAGTACAACTTAACCTCCACAGGGTCATTCCACTGTAGCTTCACTGAGGAGGTGGACAATGGGGTGGCTGTGAGGTTCACCACTGGTTTGGGCACTAGGACGAAGGGAAATAAAATATTAAACCTTAAATCAGTCCTCTTACTACGATATGAAATGTGGTAAGGCATGTAGTATTTCAAATCTACTGTGCAGAATATTAGAAAGGATTCACAATATTTCAGCAACATTTTCGCATTGTCAAAACGTCACCCAGAGCATAGTCTACTGTACGGTTGTCACAAGTGTACTCACAGGTATATGCAGATATACTAACACTGGCGCTTTCCAGATCCTGGGGTCCCACGGTTTTCACTGTGATGGTGTAGAGAGCTCCAGAGAACAGAGAGGTCACGTTACTGCTGAGATCATGGGTAGAGGAAGACTGGTTTCTCTCTCCCAAACCAGTCCCATTAGGCTGGTAGCTTATGTTATAGGAGATGTTTGGAGCTCCAGTCATTAGACCTGGGGTTGTCCATTGAACAACGAGGGAGCTGGTTGTCCTCTCTGTGATGTTGAGGGGTCCAGGTGGGTTGGGATCTGTGGTGGAGAAATAAGAGTGATGTTAGGAAAGTTGCAAACACAAATTCTCGTTCACACAAAAACACATCATGTACATTAGCTATTTTCTTCGGGACAAACACAGAGAAAACATTCTCACACTCTCTCATACAAACTCTCAGAAACTACAAACTACTATGAAGCCTTCAGAACCTCTACAGTAAATGCATAGTATAGGCATCATTGACCATGACTTACAAGTGGCTAACTGGACCACAGCAGACTGGTTACTGAAGGCTCCAACTACAGCAGTCACTGTGACCACATAGACCCTCCCAGGCTGTAACCCAGTTAAGCTGGCCTCCATGGTCGTTGTGTTTTTCATGGATGTATAGTTCAAAGCAGCATTAAAGATGGTCACGTTGTAATAGTACAGGCTCCCGCCACGCGAGGTCCAGGTCACATTCAGCTGACTGGTTCCTCGTCCCGTCGCCGTAATGTTCCCAGGTTGTTCAGGCTCTGTCAAAAGCACAATCGAAAAGGTTCATTGCAATGACTGATGGAAATATAGACAAAAAATAGAAAACCAAACCAATTATGGTTACATTGATTAGCCATTTTCAACATTGACATATTCACCTTATCCATGAATCCAAATCCTTTGAATCATAAAATAATACACTTTCAAAATAACTTACTTGTTAAAGTGGTTGTTTGACTGCCTTCTCCTACAGTTGTGTTATCTCCAGCCACTGCAGTGACTGTGAAGTTGTACTGCACTCCAGCCGTCAGCTCAGTGATGGTAGTGGAGGTTCCTGTGGTATTCTTACTGACACTGCCACCAGTCCAATTTACTCTATAGAAGGAGCTGTTTCCCTCTGGTTGAGTCCAGTTCAGAGACACAGATGATGTTGTGATTTCAGAGACAGAAAGGTTGCGGACAACTGCAGGCTCTGTAGAGCAACATTGAGGAATAGGGGTTAAAAATAAATAAATAAAAATGTGGAATACTTTTTAACCTAGATGAAAAAAGTGTTTTTTAAATGTTTATATTAAAGTGGCAATGTGATTGTTACATCATTTTTTATACGTTTGCATTATTTACATACACAATATATAAAAAAGTATGTGGACACCCCTTCAAATTAGTGGATTCGGCTATTTCAGCCATACCCGTTGCTGACAGATGTATAAAATAGAGCACACAGCCATGCAATCTCCATAGACAAACATTGGCAGTAGAATGGCCATTATTATTATTATTTATTTTTTTAAATGTAGGGGGTCAGCTTTAATATTGCAGATAGATTGTAACTTCCATCAATGTAATCCCCAATATATATTTTTTCACATATACATATATATATATATATATATATACATATGTATACATACAGTGAGGGAAAAACGTATTTGATCCCCTGCTGATTTTGTATGTTTGCCCACTGACAAAGAAATGATCAGTCTATAATTTGAATGGTATATAAGGTTTATTTGAACAGTGAGAGACAGAATAACAACAAAAAAATCCAGAAAAACGCATGTCAAAAATGTTATAAATTGATTTGCATTTTAATGAGGGGAATAAGCATTTGACCCCTCTGCAAAACATGACTTAGTACTTGGTGGCAAAACCTTTGGTGGCAATCACAGAGGTCAGACGTTTCTTGTAGTTGGCCACCAGGTTTGCACACATCTCAGGAGGGATTTTGTTCCACTCCTCTTTGCAGATCTTCTCCAAGTCATTAAGGTTTCGAGGCTGACGTTTGGCAACTCGAACCTTCAGCTCCCTCCACAGATGTTCTATGGGATTAAGGTCTGGAGACTGGCTAGGCCACTCCAGGACCTTAATGTGCTTCTTCTTGAGCCACTCCTTTGTTGCCTTGGCCGTGTGCTTTGGGTCATTGTCATGCTGGAATACCCATTCACGACCCATTTTCAATGCCCTGGCTGAGGGAAGGAGGTTCTCACCCAAGATTTGACGGTACATGGCCCCGTCCATCGTCCCTTTGATGCGGTGAAGTTGTCCTGTCCCCTTAGCAGAAAAACACCCCCAAAGCATAATATTTCCACCTCTGACGGTGGGGATGGTGTTCTTGGGGTCATAGGCAGTATTCTTCCTCCTCCAAACACGGCGAGTTGAGTTGATGCCAAAGAGCTCGATTTTGGTCTCATCTGATCACAACACTATCACCCAGTTCTCCTCTGAATCATTCAGATGTTCATTGGCAAACTTCAGACGGCCCTGTATATGTACTTTCTTGAGCAGGGGGACCTTGCGGGCGCTACAGGATTTCAGTCCTTCACGGCGTAGTGTGTTACCAATTGTTTTCTTGGTGACTATGGTCCCAGCTGCCTTGAGATCATTGACAAGATCCTCCTGTGTAGTTCTGGGCTGATTCCTCACCGTTTTCATGATCATTGCAACTCCACGAGGTGAGATTTGCATGGAGTCCCAGGCCGAGGGAGATTGACAGTTATTTTGTGTTTCTTCCATTTGCGAATAATCGCACCAACTGTTGTCACCTTCTCACCAAGCTGCTTGGCGAATGTCTTGTAGCCCATTCCAGCCCTGACATCCTTGGAGAGCTCTTTGGTCTTGGCCATGGTGGAGAGCTTGGAATCTGATTGATTGATTGCTTCTGTGGACAGGTGTCTTTTATACAGGTAACAAACTGAGATTAGGAGCACTACCTTTAAGAGTGTGCTCCTAATCTCAGCTCGTTACCTGTATAAAAGACACCTGGGAGCCAGAAATCTTTCTGATTGAGAGGGGGTCAAATACTTATTTCCCTCATTAAAATGCAAATCAATTCATTCAATTTTTTACATGCGTTTTTCTGGATTTGTTTTGGTTATTCTGTCTCTCACTGTTCAAATAAACCTACCATTCAAATTATAGACTGATCATTTCTTTGTCAGTGGGCAAACGTACAAAATCAGCAGGGGATCAAATACTTTTTTCCCCTCACTGTACATACATACATACAGTGGGGAAAAAAAGTATTTAGTCAGCCACCAATTGTGCAAGTTCTCCCACTTAAAAAGATGAGAGAGGCCTGTAATTTTCATCATAGGTACACGTCAACTATGACAGACAAAATGAGGAAAAAAAATCCAGAAAATCACATTGTAGGATTTTTTATGAATTTATTTGCTAATTATGGTGGAAAATAAGTATTTGGTCAATAACAAAAGTTTCTCAATACTTTGTTATATACCCTTTGTTGGCAATGACACAGGTCAAACGTTTTCTGTAAGTCTTCACAAGGTTTTCACACACTGTTGCTGGTATTTTGGCCCATTCCTCCATGCAGATCTCCTCTAGAGCAGTGATGTTTTGGGGCTGTCGCTGGGCAACACGGACTTTCAACTCCCTCCAAAGATTTTCTATGGGGTTGAGATCTGGAGACTCCAGGACCTTGAAATGCTTCTTACGAAGCCACTCCTTCGTTGCCCGGGCGGTGTGTTTGGGATCATTGTCATGCTGAAAGACCCAGCCACGTTTCATCTTCAATGCCCTTGCTGATGGAAGGAGGTTTTCACTCAAAATCTCACGATACATGGCCCCATTCATTCTTTCCTTTACACGGATCAGTCGTCCTGGTCCCTTTGCAGAAAAACAGCCCCAAAGTATGATGTTTTCACTCCCATGCTTCACAGTAGGTATGGTGTTCTTTGGATGCAACTCAGCATTCTTTGTCCTCCAAACACGACGAGTTGAGTTTTTACCAAAAAGTTCTATTTTGGTTTCATCTGACCATATGACATTCTCCCAATCCTCTTCTGGATGCACTCTAGCAAACTTCAGACGGGCCTGGACATGTACTGGCTTAAGCAGGGGGACACGTCTAGCACTGCAGGATTTGAGTCCCTGGCGGCGTAGTGTGTTACTGATGGTAGGCTTTGTTACTTTGGTCCCAGCTCTCTGCAGGTCATTCACTAGGTCCCCCCGTGTGGTTCTGGGATTTTTGCTCACCGTTCTTGTGATCATTTTGACCCCACGGGGTGAGATCTTGCGTGGAGCCCCAGATCGAGGGAGATTATCAGTGGTATTGTATGTCTTCCATTTCCTAATAATTGCTCCCACAGTTGATTTCTTCAAACCAAGCTGCTTACCTATTGCAGATTCAGTCTTCCCAGCCTGGTGCAGGTCTACAATTTTGTTTCTGGTGTCCTTTGACAGCTCTTTGGTCTTGGCCATAGTGGAGTTTGGAGTGTGACTGTTTGAGGTTGTGGACAGGTGTCTTTTATACTGATAACAAGTTCAAACAGGTGCCATTAATACAGGTAACGAGTGGAGGACAGAGGAGCCTCTTAAAGAAGAAGTTACAGGTCTGTGAGAGCCAGAAATCTTGCTTGTTTGTAGGTGACCAAATACTTATTTTCCACCATAATTTGCAAATAAATTCATTAAAAATCCTACAATGTGTTTTTCTGGATTTTCTTTTCTCAATTTGTCTGTCATAGTTGACGTGTACCTATGATGAAAATTACAGGCCTCTCTCATCTTTTTAAGTGGGAGAACTTGCACAATTGGTGGCTGACTAAATACTTTTTTTCCCCACTGTACATACATACATACATACATACATACATACACATATAAATACATACATATACACATACACATACATACATACAAATATATATAAACTACCGATCAAAAGTTTGGGGTCATTTAGAAATGTCCTTGTTTTCGAAAGAAAAGCAATTTTTTTGTCCATTAAAATAACATCAAATTGATCAGAAATACAGTGTAGACATTGTTAATGTTGTAAATGGCTATTGTAGCTGGAAACGGCAGATTTTTAATGGAATATCTACATAGGCGTACATAGGCCCATTATCATCAACCATCAGTCCTGTGTTCCAATGGCACGTTGTGTTTGCTAATCCAAGTTTATCGTTTTAAAAGGCTAATTGATCATTAGAAAGCCCTTTTGCAAATATGTTAGCACAGCTGAAAACTGTTGTGCTGATTAAAGAAGCAATAAAACTGTCCTTCTTGAGACTAGTTGAGTATCTGGAGCGTCAGCAATTGTGGGTTCGATTACAGGCTCAAAATGGCCAGTTTTATTGCTTCTTTAAATCAGCACAACAGTTTTCAGATGTGCTAACATAATTGCAAAATGGTTTTCTAATGATCAATAAGCCTTTTAAAACGATAAACTTGGATTAGCAAACAACAACGTGCCATTGGAACACAGGACTGATGGTTGCTGTGTTCCATAAAAATCAGCCATTTCCAGCTACAATAGCCATTTACAACATTAACAATGTCTACACTGTATTTCGGATCAATTTGATGTTATTTTAAATGGACAGAAAATTGCTTTTCTTTCGAAAACAAGGACATTTCTAAGTGACCACAAACTTTTGAACGGTAGTGTACATACAAATATATACATATCCTTTTTTAAAATATATTTTCCTTTATTACTTTCCAACCCCACCACCCCTCCCCTAATTGGAGTAAACTAGTGAACAACAACGCTTAGGCCTCTAATTCCAGCTTATACATACTATGTTATGGACACAGTCAATTTTACAGTAGTTCTATTTTGTTTGTTTTTACTCCTGAACTTCCTCTACCCTCAAACGCTCCGATCATTTTCATGATGTCCATCCGGTTTGCTTCTATATGCCATTTCTTTCAAACTGTGCTCTTTAACAAAAGTTCTTAATCTATAACCTATATACTTATTATGGACACAGTATGTTTTACATTAGTTAACTTGTTGTTATTAGTTGTTATTAGTCCCAACCTTCAGCTCCATTCAACCTCTCCCATCTATCTCTTAACACCATCCATATTGGATTTCTATTTGCCATATATTTTTCAACTGTACTGTGATGTTTCACAAAAGTTCTGAACCCTTCTATTCTCATTGTTTCTACAAATTGTAAATTGAAAATAAACATTTTTGCTAAAAGTATTATTATTTTATTGATCGATTGACTATGACTTTTCAGATCACCCAGTAGTGCTATCTGCAGGGTTAGCTCCAGGTAAATATTGCAATCCTTTAGCCATTCCTGGACCTGTGTCCAAAAACAAGCTACAAATGGACAGTACCAAAACAAATGATCTAATGATTCTGTCTCTTCACAGCAAAATCTGCAGAGCTGGGAAGATTGTATCCCCCTATTGGTAGCAAGAATGTTGTAAATTTTAATAATTTAAATGGAAAAATACTAAGTTTTGAATCCGGCGTCGTTTTGCGTATCAGTTCATAAACCATTTGCCATGGAATTGGTACGTCAAAAATCTCTTCCCAACTATTTTGCAATCTATATGGGATGGCTGTCAATCCTTTGGTCCTTAAATTAAACTGGTATACTTTTTTATTTATCACAATGTTCTTTAACCGATGATGGTCTTTAATGCAGGGCCGACAGACAAGTTCCTTACTTTCCCCCCTTTCACTTTCATCTTCCATTTTTGCGGTAATGCTGCAATTATTTGGTTGTAATTTTGGGTAGAGCAGACATTTCCATATGTTTGTGTTATGTGCATAACTCCACCAGTCCTACCTATGATTATACCTTTTACATTTTTTTTTTTTTAAACAATGTTTTTTTAAATCAATTAGTATACTTGAGTTTAACCACAATATTTGTTGAATTATTTGTTCTGTTGTTTCTGGAGGATTAAATTGAAATTGCAACAAACTTTCTGTGGCTTGTTTTAGAAATAGTGATATTTGGGAGATGATTTCCTATTCAAATAACTGAAAGTGAGAGGTTGTAATCTGAATAAAGGGAAAAAGGCCATTCTTGAACATGGGGTGAGACAATCTTACTAATTTGCAAGAGAACCAGTTCGGATTTAAGTAATATTTTTGTATGACTGAAGCTTTTAGCGATAGGTCTAATGCTTTAATATTTAATCATTTCTGTTCTCCGAATTCATATTCATTATATAAATAGGCCCATTTAATTTTGTCTGGCTTGACGTTCCAAATAAAATGGAATATTTTTTTCTCATATAATTTAAAAAAGTGTTCGCTAGGCGTAGGCAAGACCATAAGCAAAAAGGTAAACTGGGATAATACTAAAGAGTTAATCAGGGTGATTTTTCCACAAATAGACAGGTATTTTATTTATTTTTATTTATTTACCTTTCCATGGTAGCAAGATCTTATCTATTTTTGTTAACTTTCTATTAAAATGTATTGGAGTGAGATCATTTATTTATTTTGGGATATGTATACCGAGTATATCCACATCACCATCAGACCATTTTATTGGTAAACTAAACGGTAATGTAAAAATTGTATTTTTTAGTGATCCAATACGTAATATAGTACATTTATCATAATTTGGTTGTAATCCAGAGAGGTTAGAAAATGTATCTAGATGCTCTATGAGGTTGTGGAGGGATTCAAGTTGTGTATTTAAAAGAAAACATGAATCATCAGCGTACAATGACACCTTTGTTTTTAAGCCCTGGATTTCTAATCCCTTGATATTATTGTTGGATCTGATTTTAACAGCGTACAATGACACCTTTGTTTTTAAGCACTGGATTTCTAATCCCTTGATATTATTGTTGGATCTGATTTTAACAGATATGCCGATAGTGGACAGCCTTGTTTTACTCCTCTTGACAGTTTCAAACTTTCTGAGAAATAGCCATTATTTACTATTTTACACCTAGGGTTACTATACATGATTTTACCCATTTTATAAGAGATTCTCCAAAATGTAAATGCTCCAGTCATTTATATATAAACTCCAGTCGTACCTTATCAAAAGCCTTTTCAAAGTCAGCTATGAAGGCCTGGTTTCCCAGATTTTTCATAGTGTTCCATTTTTTTTTGCCTTATCTCCAATGTATTGTCCATGTAAAAAACCTGTCTGATTAGAATGAATAATGTCCGACAATACCTTTTTAATTCTATGTGCTATACATTTTGCTAGAATTTCTGCATCACAACCATGAAGTGTAAGGGGCCTCCAATTTTTTTAATGGGCTGGATCTTAATAATAATAATAATAATATGCCATTTAGCAGACGCTTTTATCCAAAGCGACTTACAGTCATGCGTGCATAATTTTTTTTGTGTATGGGTGGTCCCGGGGATCGAACCCACTACCTTGGCGTTACAAGCGCCGTGCTCTACCAGCTGAGCTACAGAGGACCACTTGTATCCTGTTTCAGTAATAATGAAATCAGACCTTCTTCTTGAGTGTCTGATAATCTACCATTTACATAGGAGTAGTTAAAACATGCTAATAATGATCCTCTGAGTATATCAAAAAAGGTTTGGTATACCTCAACTGGTATTCCATCCAACCCTGGAGTTTTCCCCAGACTTAAAGTCTTTAATTGCATCCAGGAGTTCCTCCTCTGTAATTTCACCTTCACATGAGTCTTTCTGTATGGCTGTTAATTTTACATTATCAATAGAAAAAAAATCCATACAACTAGCTTCAGTTAGAGGAGATGGAGGCGACTGAAACGAAAACATATGCTTAAAGTACTTCGCTTCCTCCTTCAAAATATAATTTGGTGAATGGCCTTACTGAAGAGCTCAGTGACTTTCAACATGGCACCGTCATAGGATGCCACCTTCCAACAAGTCAATTAGTCAAATTTCTGCCCTGCTAGAGCTGCCCCGGTCAACTGTAAGTGCTGTTATTGTGAAGTGGTAGGCCACACAAGCTCACAGAACGGGACTGCCGAATGCTGAAGTATGTAGCGCGTAAAAATAGTCTGTCCTTGATTGCAACACTCACTACCGAGTTCCAAGCTGCCTCTGGAAGCAACAATAACTGTTCAAAGGGAGCTTCATGAAATGGGTTTCCATGGCCGAGCAGCCTCACACAAGCCTAAGATCACCATGCGCAATGCCAAGCGTCGGCTGGAGTGGTGTAAAGCTCGCGGCCATTGGACTCTGGAGCAGTGGAATTGCGTTCTCTGGAGTGATGAATCACGATTCACCATCTGGCAGTGCGATGGACGAATCTAGGTTTGGCGGATGCCAGCAGAACGCTACCTGCCCGAATGCATAGTGCCACTGTAAAGTAAGGTGGAGGAGGAATAATGGTCTGGGGCTGTTTTTCATAGTTCGAGCTAGGTCCCTTAGTTCCAGTGAAGGGAAGTCTTAACGCTACAGCATACAATGGCATTCTAGACGATTCTGTTCTTCCAACTTTGTGGCAACAGTTTGGGAAGGCCCTTTGCTGTTTCAGCATGACAATGCCCCCGTGCACAAAGCGAGATCCATACAGAAATGGCCCGACAACACTAATGCTCTTGTGGCTGAATGAAAGCAAGTTCCCGCAGTAATGTTCCAACATCTAGTGGAAAGCCTTCCCAGAAGAGTTGAGGCTGTTATAGCAGCAAAGGGGGGACCAACTCTATATCAATGCCCATGATTTTGGAATGAGATGTTTGACGAACACGTGTCCACATACTTTTTGTCATGCTTTTTGTATTGTGTATAACCATTGAATCTTGAAGAATAAAACTTATGAATGCCTCATGAAATTAGTTCAACTACTGTACCCCATCAGAACCCCAAATATAATCTTGTTTTACTCAAATGTTAAACAAACACTGCATAGCCTCAAAACATGGTAAAAACTATACTTTTGATCTAATGGATGGTCAGTCCTTGCATCCACAGCACTGTCTATGAATTCAAGAGTGGTTACATTTCTACAACCCCATCTCTCAACTGTTCATCAAAACAGTGGTGGGGTGTCTGCGTCTGCTTTGTTATGGTTTGAACTGCAGATTGCCTCTTTAAAGTAAAACATTTTAAATTTAGCAATTGACGATTTAGGCATCTTTGGCTTTAGTCGTACTTGTGTATACGTATACTGTGCAAGGGTTGCCTTCTGTTGAATTGTCTTCAGCGATGGCAAAGACCTGGAGTGTGTACAGGGTTCCTGGAGTCAGGTCCTGTATGATGGCAGAGGTTGTGGATGTAAGTCGTCTCTCGCTTTTCCCTCCGTTATACCACTCCACCCAGTAGCCTGATGCCACTCCTGTAGGCTGGGTCCAGTTCAGAGAAAGAGTCATGGTGTTCTGAGTGACAGTAGGGGGTGCGATGACCGCAGGTTCTGTTTGTGAAATAGAAGGAGTGAGAGAATTAAAAGGGGAGAAAGAGATAGAAGGATGTCAGTGGAGAACAAGAGAGAAAGGGATGAATGTCAGAGAAGAGTCACCACATTTTTGAGGTTAGTTTCCAGCTCTGTTTGAGGCAAAAAAAAGACAACATAGAGCAACTTTCAGTGAGACTTACTTGTGACTTGATTTGTTACATAAGCATCTCCTTCAGTCATCCCATCTCCAGCCACTGCAGTGACTCTGAATGTGTACTTCACTCCAGCAGTTAGCTCAGTAACATTAAAGGCTGTCTCATTGGTAGTTGTATTCATATCTCTACTGCCACCAGTCCATTCTATTCTATAGAAGGATCTGTTTCCCAATGGTTTACTCCAGTTCAGAAACACAGATGATGTTGTGATTTCAGTGACAGTGAGGTTTCTGATGATTGCGGGCTCTGTGCGTGTAAGAAAGAGGGTTTGAGGGACAAAAGACAATAGGGTGTCTTCAAACATTAACATTGCAGGCTGACTTGTGCAATCCAGCACACATTGTAAGAGAGTATGTGTAAATCTGGACAAAACAATGGCACTAAACACTAGTCTTTGATAAAAATACCATTAAAATAAACATGAAGAACTTTTGAACAAAGATATCAAATACAACATGCAGTGTTTCCCCTATATTCATTTAGCAAATCGTTGCCGCCACTCCAAAAAATACGACTAAATCAAATACATACAGTGAGCTCCAAAATAATTGGGACAGTGACATTTTTGTAGCACTTTGGATTTGCAATGATACAATGACTGAGGTTAAGGTGCAGCCTGTCAGCTTTAATTTGAGGGTATTTTCATCCATATAGGGTGAACTGTTGAGAAATTACAGCACTTTTTGTACATAGTCCCCCCATTTTAGGGGACCAAAAGTATTGGTACAAATTCACTTATATGTGTAATAAAGTAGTAAAATGTTAAGTATTTGGTCCCATATTCATAGCAAGAAATGGCTACATCAAGCTCGTGACTCTTCAGGTTTGTTGGATGCGTTTGCTGTTTGTTATGGTTGTGTTACAGATTATTTTGTGCCAAATAGAACTGAATGATGAATAATTTATTGTGTAATTTGAGTCATTTTTATTGTAAATAAGAATATAATGTTTCTAAACAATTCTACATTAATATGAATGCAACAATGATTACGGATAATCCTGTATAAATTGTGAATAATTATGAATGTGAAAGTTATAGATGCAAAAATATCATATCCCCTAAGATATTACAATAACAGGGGAAAAACATTTCGTGGGGGTATGATACACAGATGTTTTTGATTTGAATTGATTAAGCCCTAATCTATGGATTTCACATGACTGGGGATACAGATATGCATCTGTTGGTCACAGAAACCTTTTTTTTTTTTTAAAGGTAGGGCCGTGGATAAGAAAACCAGTCAGTATCTGGTGTGACCGCCATTTGCCTCATGCAGCATGACACATCTCCTTTCCATAGAGTTGACCAGGTTGTTGATTGTAGACTGTGGAATGTTGTACCACTCCTTTTCAATGGCTGTGCAAAGTTGCTGGATATTGGTGGGAACTGGAACACGCTGTTGTACACGTCAATCCAGAGCATCCCAAACATGCTCAATGGGTGACATGTCTAGTGAGTATGCAGGCCATGGAAGAATTGGGACATTTTCAGCTTCCAGGAATTGGGTACAAATCCTTGCGACATGGGGCCGTGCATTATCATACTGAAACATGAGGTGATGGTGGCGGATGAATGGCACGACAATGGGCCTCAGGATCTCGTCATTCAAGTTGCCATCGATAAAATGCAATTGTGTTTGTTGTCAGTAGCTTATGCCTGCCCATATCATAACCCCACCGCCACCATGGAGTACATTGACATCAAAAAATAGCTCGCCCACGTGACACCATACACGCTGTCTGCCATCTGCCCGGTACAGTTGAAACCAGGAATCATCTGTGAAGAGCACACTTCTCCAGCGTGCCAGTGGCCATCGAAGGTGAGCATTTGCGAATTGAAGTTGGTAACGACGCCGAACTGCAGTCAGATCAAGACCCTAGAGAGGACGACGACCATGAAGATGACCTTCCCTGAGACGGTTTCGGACAGTTTGTGCAGAAATTCTTCGGTTGTGCAAACCCACAGTTTCATCAGCTGTCTCAGACGATCCCGCAGGTGAAAAAGGCAGATGTGGAGGTCCTGGGCTGTAGTGGCTATAAGTTGTCTGCGGTTGTGAGGTCGGTTGGAAGTACTGCCAAATTCTCTAAACCGACGTTGGAGGTGGCTTATGGTAGAGAAATGAAGATTCAATTCTCTGGCAAAAGCTCTGGTGGACATTCCTGTAGTCAGCATGCCAAACTTGAGACATTTCTGGCATAGTGTCGTGTGACAAAACTGCACATTTTAGTGGCCTTTTATTGTCACCAGCACAAGGTGCACCTGTGTAATGATTATGCTGTTTAATCAGCTTCTTACAGCAGCTGTACAGATAACTAATCCAAAGGGCATTGACTTCTCAAACACGGCAGAAACACAACACAATATGATGCACAATAACCTTATTAATTCAGCCACTTACTTTGATAACTACCAAATGAAACATAAGGGTCACGTTAATGCAGAATTCTTCGTTTTTCAAGCAGGAAAAAAATATAAAACGAAAAAGAAATATCTTGCTGCGTTTTATAAACGCAGATCTAAAATGATTCTTATTGTAATTTCTGCTCGGCATCAAACAAATATTGTGCTTCAGTTGAACACGAACAGGCATTCTATCAGCAGACAGTGTTCTGACTGATGTGCAGATACTTTTCTCCAGTACTTTTCTCGGTGTAGCCAGCCTACTTTTCTTTGATTCACTTTAAGAAAAACATTAGGAAATGTAGCTGGCTACATTCTTTCTATGATAAACATTAGAAATATGATGGCCTTGCATAGTTTTTGCAAAAAAAAGACCTTATTTTTCATTGTAAGCCCTTTTAACCTGCTTGTGTTGCTGCTAGCCAAAAAGCGTTGCACTTCTGTTCTCATCTGATGGAAATGAAGCTATATTCTGCCGAATGTGTTGGACTAATGTATTTTCTGTGAAGGAAAACTACAGTTACAGGTCCCTGATCACTCTGTTGAAGCAAAAAACAACTGTTGACTTTCAATATAAAACGCAACCCCTGTCAATACACAGCTGGACTCACCTGCGCCTGCTGTCTCCAGTTGTGCTATTTACAAACAAACACGTGACTTGCTCAACAGTTCTGGGGAACTACGGTAATCTTAATAATGTAACACAATGTAACAGGTGAAATTAAGAATGCAATCTGCTTAATTTTCTAACACATTGCACAAGTTGACTGCAGGTATTTACTTAAAAAGTATCTACAAATATTAAAATGTATAGAAAAACTTCAAATAAATAGTTTCAACGGTATTGAAAAACCATCCCGTGGCTATTTCATAATACCCCGGTATACGGTAAATACGGTATACCGCAAAAGCCTACACAGACATCAGTATTAAAAGTCCAATGCTGCCATTTCTATCTCAATATCAAATCATTTCTGGGTAACAATTAAGTACCTTACTTTGATTGTTTTCAATTAAAATGGTCAAAAATGAATAAAAATAGCTTTTTAGCAAAGAGCAATTTCTCAAGCAAGAATTGAGCTAGGACTGTCTGGGAGAGGTCTGAATGGGGAGGGGAAAACTGAAAACTAGCTGTTATTGGCAGAGAGGGTTGGAACTCTTTCTTATTGGTCTTTTTAAAAATTTACCGCCTGGTGATGTCACACGGCAGGCCAAAACTCCATCCCACCAAAACAGAAAGACATTTTAGGCGGTCTTTTCAAACAGCTCCTACACTAAAAGGGAATTATCATAATTTTCAAATTTTCAGAGTATTATTCCACCCTCATAGTGTGGAAATATATACAGTATATAAAACACAGGAAAATCACATTTGTGACTACACAGGCCCTTTAAAGGCCCCAATATACACTGTCCAGAGGGATGGATCAGCCTCTAGACATGAAAAATGTCCATTAATACCAAGAGTTCCGCTACTCAAGAACATCAGATACAGAATGTTGCATGAAGCAGTTAAGAAATAAAGCCCAGACAATTTAAACTTAATCTTACTTGTAAAGAGTGAAACACTGATCGTTTTGCCTTCAGTCATCTCATCTCCAGCCACTGCAGTGACCCTGAATGTGTACTTCACTCCAGCAGTCAGCTCAGTTACGTTAAAGGCTGTCTCCTTGGTAGTTGTATTCATATCTCTAACGCCACCAGTCCATTCTACTCTATAGAAGGATCTGTTTCCCAATGGTTCAATCCAGCTCAGAGACACAGATGATGTTGTGATTTCAGAGACAGTGAGGTTCCTGATGACTTCAGGTTCTGTGCATGCAAGAAATGTACATTTTGGGAGAAGACCATACCATTAGATTACTTAGTACCTACCTACAGTACTCTATTACAGGATTCCATCACTTCTGGTTCCAAAAAAGAAAGAGGACTTTACCCTTCCTCTTATTGCCCTCTCATTGTTCAATACAGATATTAACATAATCATTACATGGTTCCACTTCAGAGAAAACATTAACACCATTCCAATGAAAAGGCTTACTTGTAAAGAGTGCTTTCTCCTGAGCATTTCCTTTAGTTATATTATCACCAGCCACTGCAGTGACCTTGAATGTGTACTTCACTCCAGCAGTTAGCTCAGTTACATTAAAGGCTGTCTCATTGGTAGTTGTATTCATATCTCTACCGCCATTAGTCCATTCTATTCTATAGAAGGATCTGTTTCCCAACGGCTCAATCCAGCTCAGAGACACAGAGGATGTTGTGATTTCAGTGACAGTGAGGTTTCTGATGATTGCGGGCTCTGTGCGTGTAAGAAAGAGGGTTTGAGGGACAAAAGACAATAGGGTGTCTTCAAACATTGACATTGCAGGCTGACTTGTGCAATCCAGCACACATTGT